TCTCTGAGAAAGGTATTTAGCTCGATAGTTATTACTGCTTTAACGATGAACAGTATCTTGGATCGTGGAGAAAGTCGAACAAAACAAAGAGGCTCGAAATTATTAAAATACTCGTTCGATGCTGTATACTATACCGTAGAATAAATTCTGTATTATAAACAAAGCAACGAACAATGATTTATACTTGAAAAGGTTTCTACAACCTCTCGAGACACAAATAAACACAAAGTTCTCGAGTAACAGCAAATATTGCTCCGAATTAGGAACGACCCTTAAGTATAGGGAGCGAAGGACGATCGTAAGAATATTAGGAAAGGGAAAGTGTGAAGGATGAAGTTGAAAAGATGCGAGAATTTTGTATCGCGTGCGTTGGTCCGATTTGAATTAGAAAATAGAATTCAGGAGGCCGCGTCATCCTCTGCGAATCCTCGAATCGTGAATTCAGAATTCCAATCTGTTCGTTCTACCTTGTCCCGCGAGTGACCGTGGAATAGAAGAGAGGTGGTTTACCCGAAGAACACGACAGCTGCATCGAGCCACCGGCCTGAAAATAGCACGGCAACCCCATGCCGAGGCCGAAGAGCGAAGTCGAAGCCCTCTCCCTACGTCGGTATACACCGCGGCTTAAAAAGCCACCCACCTACGAGCCTTTTAAATAGTGATCGCGTGCTTTTCCCTCCAGCAGAAACTTCTCGCTAAATGACATGGCCGAGGAAAGAGGGAGCGTACCGCCGTTGATTTATAAGAAGAACCAGGCGTTTCCGGATACTTCTCGAGACGATACCCGGTCACGCTCAACGGAACATTTATTTTTCACCGAACGATCGCTCCGAGTGGGATTACACCTAATGACTCTGTTTTCCTTATCGGGCGAAAAAACCGTCCCTTCCATCGTTTCCCCGGGTCGCTTTTTTCGCCCTTTGGCACGAGTCTGATTAACCGCCACGGATATTACACACATGTGAGAGTTCCGTCTGGTTTTGGTACGGCAAATTTAAAAAGATGTTTACAGCGGAGCCCCGATTCTCCAAAGAAATTAAGAAACTTTTATTCCCGAATAACGAACACAAAATTCTAGATAACGGAGTTTTTTAATCTTACATTTTTATTTGTTATTTGGAAATAATATTTTTAATAATAGTAATAATAAGGATAGCCATTTTTCCAGGCGTTTGCTCGTGTGTTGTGTGTGAAACCGAGCTGAACGATATTTTGCTAAATCCGTCGAAGCGCAAAAGTTACACGGGCGTTAAAATCAAGTAATCAGCGATATTAGCTGCCTAGGGCGCAAGTAGGCGAATATGCGTAAAAGTTTTCAATCTTGTTACAGTGAGTAATGGCGATACACGTGGTGTCGCGATACATCTAGTCAGCTCCACTCTTTCCTCGTGACGGTTTATACGTTCTTCCTCCTCCGCCACCTGGAGCTACTCCAAGTGCGCCGAAAATACGCGTTTTACGCGACACGTTCCATCGGGAACGCGTTCCGGGCACCTGTAGAATCCACGACCTGTCAATTAATAACGCAGAAACCACGAGGTGAAATATACCGAGCGCCTATCCGACGACACGCAGAAACCAGAATAATGACAATCCATCGTCGAGAAAAGGTTGGCGAGTCTCGGAATTGCGTCAGTTGAAGATGCTTGACACTCGTGATTTTATTTTTAGGCCCCGACGTCGATACCACGACGATTGCAATAGCGGCTCCGAGACACCTGTTCTTTGAATCGCTCTGAAAACAATCAACGTCGCAGATTCCAGGATTTATTCGGTTGGAAAAATAACTGGCAAGACGGGATGAAAAATATAACAGAGCTATCAGGATTTTACGAGTTCAAGTATAAATAGTTTTATACAACGTGATCCTTCGTAATTGGCAATAGTGAGTATTATAAAAGAGGACTGACTCGAGCGAGCCTCTATCATCTTCAAAAATATAAAACCTAAATCTAAGAACAGACAATATAATTGTAAATATAATCCTATCTATCTGTCTTGTGTCTCGCGTGAACAAAATGCGCCATTGGATAATTCCTTTAAAAGCTACGAGCTGTCGATGAGCATAGATCGTACAGGGATTGCATTTTTAGCGGCTACGGGACAGAGGTCGGAGAACATAGGCGACGAACGATGGAAGGTGGCAAGTAAATAGGAAAACGGCGTCGCTCTCGCTGTTTCATTGGTGGCTACAGGATAGAAGCAGGTTGGTGCGCTGGGTGGTTCTTCTGGAGTGACGCCAGGCGTCCGCCGAATTTAGCACCGCGACGCTGACTAACTCGTGTGGCATTCATTCAATCGCCGACCAAAAAGCCTGCTGCCTGCATAGCCTCTGTTTGCATGAGCGACGTCGTTCGCGTTGCACTTGTCCAGAAAACCGCAGTTTTCATTCCCTTACACCTTTTTTTCGCTCATCGCGCGTCCATTGGCGACGATCTAAACGCGTGCAAATCGGAACCACCCAGTATGTCGCGATCATGGTCGTTCGACTGTATCTTGCGCGTAAAACGTACGAGAGACGCTGTAATTGACGAAGTTCTTTTTGGAAATATTGTCGTCTGAGGTATTATTAGGCGAATAGGAAAAACGATATGATCGATAAAGTTTAGCTGAAACTATCGTATCACTTTCATTGCAGCATTGTTAAAATCATCTGCAATGTATGTATGTACGTATGTAGACTTTGATAGGAATTATATGTCCTGTTGTGTTCGACGTCATTAATTCTAAGAAATAGTTCAAGATCATCCGTATAAAGTAGATGTTTAAAAAAAAAAATCAACATTTGCTTCAAACTCTCCTTAAATTTGTAAATATTACATTCGTTGATCTGTGGAATTGAAATCTTTGTTAACAACGTTTTGCTATTAATAGAGGGTCGCAGAGAATCAAAGAGCGTATCTTATGCTATCTGCTTTCCGTCGAAGTGTAATATTTACCGTTCCGAAAGGCGCGAAATCCTTTGACGAAACCAACATATGGTGTCATAAAAACTCTTTTATCATTGAATCAATTGGCGTTAACTTTCCCGTCATCCGCGAAGATCGTAAGAACGCGATGAAATTCAGCGCGTGCTTGCTCATCGTTTCGCTTCCCGAAACATTTGCATCCCCGGTGACCAGACTTCGAGGAAGCTTCACTCAACTCGCAAGTAAAAAGTCCGCGTGTCCTGTTGTGTCGCTGTCTGCCATCTTTGCGCTTTTTTCCACATTCTTTTTCTACACCATGGGGCCTAAAGGAACCGCTAGCAGAACGACACGCTTCTTTCTCTTTCTTTTCTTCTCTTCTCGGTCCGGTGGCAGTTAATGAACATCGGACGCGTGCCGTCGGTCCCACAAAATCTGTCTACCAACGGTGGCTTCGCACAGAAATAGAATGCCTATCCTTTCGTTTGCCACTGGTAGATATCGTTCCGGTCTTTCGTTTCAGTTTGTTTCGTACCGTTGACAAACTAAGGTCTATAAATGCCAGTATTCACTGACAATGCATGGAAATAATTCTTCCTACCGTCTTACAGCTTCAAAAGCGTATTTTGGAATCCTAGCGACTATAGCACAGTTAACTCTTCATAACGTAACGTGACTCTGAAGATGCGAACCCATTCCACGTTTTTTAAAGCCCGATTTGATTCTGCATATTGTCAACCATTACGTCGGTATAGAGTGTTCGGGGATCGTGTATGAATCACGGGATCGTATTGAAATTTTCAACAGATAAACAAATATGTAACGAGCTACCTCTGGCCCACCTTCATCCGCGTGTTTCAACCCACGTCAAAGAGAAAATAAATCTTGAAATCGCTTCTTTCCAAACACGAACAGTCTAGCTTGCCACGAAAACTGAATATAATTTTCCAGTTCGTAATACTCGTGGTCGAGGCAACTCCAAGACATTATAGTCCGGACGTAATTGTTTAAATCTGTTACGTTGTTAGAATCTAAACACTCGAGACCATTCTGGAAATTGGTCATGCTTCTTTAGACATGTTTATCTTGATTAGTTTATGATATGTCGATCCATTAAAATGACTGGCGGATGGATGTGTTCCAAAATGCTATGTATCGATATCTCAAATATTTTGATAATTTCTACCGATGGTAAACATAGATCTTTCTTTAGTACAGCGCGTAAAATACTATTGTTGATCTTTTACATTCTTCGGCATAGACTGAATCTCTGTTCTTACATTTACGCGAGAATGATTAAAGAAGTTTTGTTAATATACTGCATTGATTTAAAATTATTTTTTTTCCAGATATATAGAACAGTCCACTAATGCGAACAATGGAGATTCTCCTGTATAGTGTATCGCAGCTTTCACGATATTTAACAAGAGTTAAAATGGATAAGTGAAGTAAGAATCAAAATTCTATGAAATCACGCTTATGGTGCAATTAAACCATTAACGTGTAAACCAGGGCCGTGTGTCTGGGCAAATTCGAGCACTGCCCTTGCAAACCAGCAGGCAGTCAACATTAATATAATATCGAATCTGTTTCCCCAGACTTCTGTCTGCACAATCACGATTTCGTAGAAACGTTTACACGGTAAGGATTGAAAAAAAGTGTGTATGCCAATTTGATAATTTATATGGACTCGCTGTATAACACATTTATGAAATAAATATACAACGTTTGTATATTTATGCGACTACCATCAGCAATGTTTTGTACAGGGTTTGTTTCGACGTGCAACGAGCTTCTGTGATCGCGTTGGTATACGCGCGACAATGTCCTCGTCGTGTAGGCAGAAATCGAAAAAGCGGACACGGTCGTGGACACCGGTGGTCGCACACTTCGCCACCACGCAAACAGAGGCAGCCGACAACGCGACACACGAGCCAATCGGGCACCCTTCTGAGCGCGTGCAGCGCGGCGCGCAGCAGCTGAAGAAGAAGAAGACGACGAAGACGACGACGAAGCGACGGCGGAGGGCGAGGGAGGCTGCGCTGCTATATGTAGCCCCGAATCTTAGCCGGAGCAACTATTACGCCCGAAATCCTCGAGGCGGACGCACCCCCTGTGTTCTGCGACAGGTACAGGGCACGGTCGCTTTCAACCAAAAGAACCTTTCGACTTTTCAAACCACGCGACATTGTTTCGTCCGGTTCGATAACATTCTCCTGTCCGAATCTACGAGTGATCGCGTGTGACAGTGGACAGTAGAACCGAAAATCCGAGGTATGATTTGTGGTGATTCGTAGAAGAGATTAGAGAGTAAAGGAATACGAAACGGGTGAAAATGCCGAGAGCTTTTCTCATCACCCACCGCCGATACAACGGCGTCGAAGAAGAGTTCGACGGGTCCGGAAGAGGTACGTTCGCTTTCGTAATTGTCTTCTTGAACGGTACCGCGAGCATTCTGTGCCAGAGCTTTCCACGATGGTTCGCGCTCTAGCTATATTTTAAAAATAAAGTTCTCCGGAGGACGTTCGCGAAAGAACGACGCGAAGTCTCTTTCCCTTTGAGCTTCAATTGATACGACGTAGCTTCGGGCGAGCTTTCGGTGGCGCGAGAATTGCGCGAGGTTCGAAGGGACGGCGCAAAAGTTCCATTAATGGCAATGCAAGCGCCACCGAGACGTAAACGCGTTTTGGTATCGCTACATCGTCGATTATCGTCAATCAAAGCTCGGTGCCAAGGGAATTCGCTGGTCGTTGCTTCGTGATTAAGGTGGTACATCGTGCAGATTTAAGAATAGGAGACGCTAGATGCGTCACGAAGCTCACGCGGCGCATACCGCCGCGATGCCGTCAACCCCTCCAAAGCTTTCGTGCAAACGCGAGACTTGTACATACACGCGCGTACACGCGTATACGTGTACACAGAAATACGCAGAAAATACGAGGGCCGGACGGAGAAAGAACGATAAGAAGAAGGGAGAGGTACAGATAGCTACTCTATTTCCGTTCTCCCCAAAAACAGAGCAGTCGGTTTACTCGCGAAGGTGCTTTGCGTTTCACGAGACGCCTCCGATACACGGCTCGATGCCGTAAATACGAATATTTTGCTTAAGTGTACGCGACAATCCAAAAGCCATGGTTGCATTTCACGCTAGGAGGAACTAGAAAGCTCATAGTCGAATGTAACTCTATAATTTTACAGCCGGCGAACGCTTACGGCGCTCTGAGCACCTGTTTGGTTGCGATAGAGAAGACGCTTTAAAACTCGAATCGTTACGATAAGTTTCCTTTCTCGATCGTACGGTAAAGATTGCAGCGATGTATCTGAAACTAGTCGAATATAATAAGATCGAGGTACAAATTAAAATTTCTCACCGTTTGATCGCAAGATTCCTATGGACGTTAGCCAGAAGCTTTCGAACCGTAGGAACCTTGCTAACGATGATAAACGATTCCGCGTGCCGCGATTCGATCGTCTGTAAAATCCGCAAAACGCAACACTCTGGCGCTCATTCTTCGCTTCGAGCAACACGTTACAATTTTGAACGATGAATGTAAAATGTTGTGTTTGAATTGTTATTATCTATTACATGTTTCCTAACCGAAACTTGGGCCATTTATAGACGCAAACTCTAAAGTAACAAACACTCGAGGCCTCTTTGACTTAGAACGACAGAATAGGAGAATTGAAACGGAAAATTGGTCGTGGATCTAATCGTTTCGATCTTTCGTGCAGATTTCAGCCCCGAGAGAGGGGTAAGACTGGCCGATTACAGCGGGAACCATCCAACGTCCGATGGCGCGAGCGAATGCGGCAGCGAGACGTCGTCGGAGTGTCCCGAGGAACTGTACAATCTAACGAAACTGGCGGAAGTGAGCCTGGCGGCAGCCGCGGGCACGCTAATTCATCCCAGCAACGTGATTTACCAGCAACCAGCCTCGCCCAGGTGCGCTCAGCTCTCGGACAAGTGCAGCAGGATCGTGTCGCCGCGATCGAAGAGGCAGGAGTCGCAGTTCCAAGATCACCCGGGTACGCTGGAGGACGAGCAGACCCTCGGCGAGAGGACGAAACTGTTCTTCGAGAGGATCGAAAGCGAACGAGAGATACTGCAAACCCACTCGGAGAGAAATACTGTTCTGGGTATCCGCGTATCGTCCCCTCGTTCCCATCGTTTGCAGGAGGAACGAGGTCTCGATGTCTCCGACAACTCCCTCGACAAGACCGAATTGGAACCGGCACCGTCGATACCGTCGATACCCGAAAGCCGAAGAACGACCTCGACCTCGACGGAGACGTCGAAATCCGAGGACAACGAGGACCACGAGTGCCCCGATTGCGGGAAGAAGTACTCGACTTCCTCGAACCTGGCCAGACACAGGCAAACGCATCGATCCCTAGGTGATAAGAAAGCCAGAAGGTGTCCACATTGCGACAAGGTCTACGTTAGCATGCCCGCGTTCAGTATGCACGTCAGGACGCATAATCAAGGGTGCAAGTGCCATTACTGCGGCAAGTGTTTCTCGAGGCCGTGGCTGCTACAGGGACACATACGCACCCATACCGGTAAGAATTCGTACGGAAACCCGTATAGAAACATGGCGTACCGCCTAACTGCGAAAGCAGAATCAATGGTATCTCGTTGTTTTTAATCGCTTAACGTCGTTTGTTTGTTCCTCTTGTATTAGGAGAGAAGCCGTTCAAGTGCACGATCTGCAACAAAGCGTTCGCTGACAAGTCCAACTTACGCGCCCACATACAAACGCACTCGAACACGAAACCGCACGTGTGCGGTCGTTGCGGCAAAGCGTTCGCCCTGAAGTCGTATCTGTACAAGCACGAGGAGTCGTCCTGTATGAGAGCGCATCATCGATCATCCGTGGAGAAAATAGATGGAAACGATCAGAAGGCTGCGTCCTCGTCGGCGAAATCGTGCGCGCCACTCTCGTCGTCTTTCGGCCGACTGCAGACGACACCGTGCCTCACGGCGTCCCCCACCAGCGTCATAGTTCCTCGTTTAGGTCTGAACCGCGACCAAAGAAACCCGTCGTCGGCGTTCTCAGCGATCATCAGGCACACCAGAATACCGGACGCGTCCGCGGTATCGCCGCCGTCGTTGAAACGTTCCTGCAGAGATAAAACACCGATCGAGGAGCACGAGGGGCAAACATCCGACGGCTCGACGAAAGACCCGGAGTGCGTGTCCAGGATGGTAATCAGAACGTCCGTTATATCGCCCAATCCGGAGCATCTGAGTCGCTTCAACAACGATAGCCAAAATTCTTCCAACGGTTTTGATTTTTCTGATCCGACGAGGTCCTCCGCGTTTTCAAGGCCAACCACGATGACCCTGAATTTGGCGATCGCGTAGAATCACTCGTCGCCCTTGAAATTTTAAACCAGGCACGCCAAACTTTTTCTTTGCCATCGTCAAAACTATCTTAACATGCCTGTTTTAAATATATCGAGGAAAATAGAGTATTCGTCTAAATTGATAAACGAAATCACGGCAAGTAGTTCCGCCGAGTAACGTGAGAACATTATTGTCGAATGTAGATAAGGCAGAATCAGTTCTGTAGTACACCAAAGACTACCTTAATTCCTACGGATTTTTCAAACGCGCAGAGGAACCGTTATCCAAAACCGAAGGCGAAACAATCATCGTTTCGCGGAGGTAACGAAGACGTCATTATTTGCTAGCAACTAGTGTCATTCCTACCGATATCGAGATAAGTCCATTAAGTTTTAGAAGTGAAACGTTTGAAATTGTATCGTTATACTTAATGGCGCCTTTTTACAGCGATTAACGCCCACATTTATAGATAAAGTGAAGTCAATTTTGATGACAAGTTCGATAGCACTACAAACAAGCACGATCGACAAAGATTACGTGACAAATATTATTCCATACACCTTCCTAATTAGGGACCATATAGCACATAGTATAGTAATGATAAAATCATGGATCATCAATTCCTAGTATCGTGCCTTAAACACTATTCGTATGTAGCAACATTTTTTTTTTAAAGACACATCGCGTCGTATGAAGGAACGAAAGTAATTTATTAATTTGGAGTGAAATGCAGTGCCTATTATATGCGTACTTACCTTAGTATTAATTGCGTCGATCGAATCAAAGTTCTCCGAGCTCTTCCAGGCAGCTAGAAATTCTTTAATGCTTGAAACTAACGTAAATTGCTAATAAACATCGATCGAATTATAGATACTCGTATTATTGAGAAATACCGTAAAAGAAACTATTTTTACTTTTATCTTTACACGACAAGTTACACTTTTAGAATCTCCCGTTGAAGTTACGCGTTTCTGTGAGTATTTTGTGCGCTAAACTAGGCGATCAACTACGATAGTCTGATGAACATTTGGAAGAAGTTGGTGTAGTTGAACCGCGCAATTATAAGTATTTGAATAAGTACTGAATAGTTAATTAAGATTTCTGTCAAAAACGGTAGATAAGGATAAATGTAATTTCGGGTCTCGTCATATTTGCTGCAAACGTATATCTAAGAAGGTAGTTTTATTTTGTAATGCATTAAACGCGTTTTTAAATACAAGAACGCGTATCGTCTGTGATTCGAAGTTGCGTAAAACAGAATTCGGCTGCTGTACACGCAGTTTCGTAGCCCTCTGTCGGCGGTATTGTAGAATATTTAAGAATTTCTTGTTTTCGATCCGTTACCAATCGATGGTATCGATCCGAGTGTAAACTAGTCCAATCCGTTTTGCTATTCCAAGCACAACCTATCGAATTTTTCTCGTAAATAGCATCGAACACTTTGCGTTTTATGTTCCATTAATTGTTCTCACGAGAACTTCTAAAACGACATGGTTGTGCAAGAATTCGAATAGCAACGGTTATGATAAAGATTTTCCGTAGTTTATGGATTTTGTTCAGAGTAAAATCGTACATTAGAGAATTGTGTTTGCATTAACCTGGAGCAACGGCGTACGCATGCGCGCGTGTCCTAGTCACCGATCTACCGCGAAGATCGAACATATGGATCCCGAGTTGTAATATTATGTTATATAGTCGTGTGAGTCACAAATTGTAAATAGCATTCCCTACATTATATATATATATATATATATATTGTATGTATGTATATATATATATATATATATTAGTACTTAGAATGACTCGCATCGTTAGTCCTTTTAATTAGCCCAGTTTAATGTATTGTTGTTTTACGTATGTAATGTGCCATTTGTACACCGGAGTGCCTAAGCAAACATTTTACCAATTTTTCTACGAATTGTAAAAGTCTTGTCTATTACAACGAGAAAATATATACATATCGCTATACAAGCATATCCGTGTGCGGAATATTTTTACATTAATCCTTTCTAGTAAAGTTGCAGGAATACAGACCGGGCCTCAAGATGAGATCAAGATCCGGAATTCACCGTGGCGGAAAAGATCTAGAAATGCTTGTCGGCTCGGTAAGGGTCTCGAAATATTCATCCGTTATTGTAAATAAAATAAAACTGAATACGCATCGGTATGTAAATTGTAAGAACGAAGATACCCTTTGTTTAATGAAATACACAACCCATGTTACAGTACCGCTGCTTATATCAGTTCTGAGACAGTATAAATAATCATGGATCTGTACCGGCGACACGCGTAAAACGCAGGCCCCGTTCGAAAGACGAAACCCAGCGTCAAGATTTAGAAAAAATGCAGCTCCTGTCGGATCGATAACGCCAAGTGCAATTGCACTTTTTGTAACAAGGAACGCGTTTCCAAACTGTCTTATAGAAAAGTTTGATGTAACGCAATTGGTGAATCGGTTTGCCCGTATAACGCGATTAGAAACCCATGGTTGCGACATACAAATTTACATAAAAGACTTCGTTCAAATTCACTTTGCTTTTACTCATCGATCTCATTCTAGAACCGATGAACCATACGATAGTTAATAGCGACTTCAAACGAAACAAACAACGACTTGCTGTATTTACCAAACGGATTGGAGTTCATAATTAGGGCAACGAAGGGGAAAGCATCTATCTTAGTCAGCCGACTATGGTCACATAAGCCGACTTTAGGTGATATCGTTTACGATTAGAAAGATATTTGCGTCTTAGTAGACTGCGAAATGGTACAGACCTGATTATTCTTGTCCGGAACAATTTCGCACAAACCAACGAGGGAATCCCGTCTTTCGATGATGTAAATACAAATATCAAAGGCGAACAAAATACTATGCGTTTAATGCTAACGATTACACGTAATTATTTTGAACAATGTATTTGTAGCATATCGGTATCGTACTTTTTGTATCGGTATTGTACTTAAGAGAAATGATTTGTTTCCGTTTACCTTAGATTTCCATTTCTGCTTCTCATATTTTTTACGAAAAATGTAATCGACCCGTTGCAATCGTTTTCCGACTTTGATTACGAATGAAATGCAACTGTTAGCAAAGGAGTAATTTCGTAAATGCGCATAGTCGCGTTCCAGTCCGGTAACGAGATCCGGACATCGCGAGACGACACAAGATAACGTAACATTTACAACAGTGCAGACGCACTTACATCACAATTTACATACCCGCGCGCTTCTTAGAATTTCTCCCTATCAAACCGTTCCCCCTTCTACGTTTTAATCCAAATCCTCGTGCTTCTTGATCTCTTCGCAAGATCGAGCACAAGTAAGCCGAAGAAGAGGAAGAAGAAAAGGAATAAGGTGTCTGGTGGGAGTCGACGATTCAACCTACCAGGATTATCGTCAAATAAGCGCGAACAGTCGCGGAGAAGATCTCGAACTAGGCTCCAGCCATGCGGCTGATCCTTATTATCCTGATCCTCTCCTCGGGGACAGGACTCCCGAGGTACTACGTAAGTTGTCAACGATTCTTTTTCTCGTTATGCTTTTAAACGACACTTAAACCATTTAAATAGTTTTGTTAGTTTATTTTCAATGTTTCGGTGGAACAGATCGTTTATTGGCAACGGAAGATTTTTATGCATACGAACGAATAAATTGTTAATTTATTTGCGTAATTTATTTATCAGCTCGATTCATCGATACAAATTAAGTATTTAACGACTAGAGTTGCTTGGAAGAAAGATTTGAAGATCAAAGTTCGTGTGATAAGTTGATAGGAAATAGCTCGGCCCATTCCAAATTCCTCTGTTTCGTGTCTTCTTTTTTGTTTTGCTTTCTTTGATGAGAGTATTATCCAACTCATTCATTTTCGCTCAATAAAAATTGTTTGACGTTAGATATTTGAAAACTGTAACGATATAAAATTGTCTGCACTGTTATCTTTCCTATTAAAATTTTATATTTTATTTCGATCGCTGCTTTATTCATTTTACAATTTGAATAATTTGTTTGCAGGAGAAGAGGCGCTTCGACCGTTCCGTTTACGATGATTTCGAAACACATATCATGAATATACATTTACCAAAAAAACAGTGGACATTCATCGATCATGAAACGGTAATATATGTTTATCTCTACGACATTTATATGAACGATACTTTCATTCATGTTTGATCTTTTGCAGCATTTCAAAGCGTACAAAGATAAAAAAGAAAACGACTGTTATTTGGAGAACCTGGAAGATAGCGTTGGTCTAGAAGAACTTTCAGAAAATAGATTCCAACAACGAAAACAAGCATCAAGAGTTCTGTATGCGTCAACGGAAGCTTTAACAAAATTAGAGGTGAAATAATATTACTTATAACAATAATGTTACTTTTATAAGAACAATATTGCTTTATTTTCTACAGGCTTGGCGAATAGCTGGGGGCAGAGTAGTTGATTTTTGTCAGGGACGACAAATTATTTTACTGCAAAGTACAATGCCCATAGTGATCCAAACAGTAGATCCTTTCTCCAATGTGATTCCGCAAGATGAAAACGATATCGTGACTAGAAGAGTAACTGACGTAGTTTTAACGCCTTTGATAAGTCGAGCGAAGAGGCAAATTATGCTTGAAGAACGACAAAAGTTAAATGAGAAATTCCGAGAGACTCGTATACGGCGTCAAGCACAGCAACAACCACGTGGAAAATTTCGAGGACAGACGCAGTCTCAGTATTTAAATATCGGTAATAACGATCAGAGCGAAGGCAAAGCTGAAGCCGAAGCCACTCAACAATCCTCCCGTGCACTTGTCAGTGAGTATTTCAAAAGGTTTCCATACTGATTTATCGGTCGATTTACACGCGAAACAAAAACTTTAAACCTGTCGTAAGGTGGAAGTAGAGGTATGGGCCAAGCGCAAAGTATGTCGTCGAGTGGTATTGGATGCGAAGATTGCCCAAAATATACTAGCGAAGCCGTACCAGACAGATACATCCAACATCCGGGCACCACGGGTACGAGTACTTTACAAAAGCAAAATTATTCCTATAGAAATCGATCAAAATGATCGAACATATCCCGATATGTTCTTTCAGGAACCGCAACCGGTGGAACTCATTTTCCCAACGTTTTTCCTACAATCGGACAATCAGGAGGTAGAATAGTTCACCCTGGCACTAGAGTAGACGCAACATATCCGGGTGGCGTTACACCGGGAGAAAAAGTATATCCAGATACTATTACACCAGGTATTGTAACAAATAAGATAGTATAACTTATCGAAACGCATTCATAGCAGGTACTACTTCGACTAGAAGTGGTATAATTTACTCTATTAGTGTATCTGATGCTCCAACAGGAGGTGGTGTAGTTTATCATGGCAATGTACCAGGTGGAACAAGAACTGGAGGTGGCGAAGTTTATCCTGGCGGTGTACCTGGTGCTAGAACGACAGGAGGTGGTGTAGCTTATCCTGGTAATGTGCCTGGTAGTACAACAACTGGAGGTGGAACAGTTTATCCTGGTAATGTGCCTGGTGGTACGACAACTGGAGGTGGAACAGTTTATCCTGGTAATGTGCCTGGTGGTACGACAACTGGAGGTGGAACAGTTTATCCTGGTAATGTGCCTGGTGGTACGACAACTGGAGGTGGAACAGTTTATCCTGGTAATGTACCTGGTGGTACAACAACTGGAGGTGGAACAGTTTATCCTGGTAATGTACCTGGTGGTACGACAACTGGAGGTGGAACAGTTTATCCTGGTAGTGTACCTGGTACTCGAACAACAGGAGGTGGTGTAACCTATCCTGGTAATGTACCTGGTGGTACGACAACCGGAGGTGGAACAGTTTATCCTGGTAGTGTACCTGGTAGTCGAACAACAGGAGGTGGAGTAACTTATCCTGGTAATGTACCTCATGGTACGACAACTGGTGGAATAGTTTATCCTGGCCCTGTACCTGGTAGTACGACAATTGGAGGTGGAACAGTTTATCCCGGCAATGTACCTGGTAGTACGACAATTGGAGGTGGAACAGTTTATCCCGGCAATGTACCTGGTAGTACGGCAACTGGAGATGGAACAATTTATCCTGGTAATATACCTGGTCTTAGAACAACAGACGGAGGAGTAGCCTATCCCGGTAGTATTCCTGGTGTTAGAACAACAGACGGAGGAGTAGCCTATCCCGGTAGTATTCCTGGAGTTAGGACAACGGACGGAGGAGTAGCCTATCCTGGTAGTGTTCCCAGTGTTAGAACAACAGATGGAGGAGTAGCCTATCCCGGTAGTATTCCTGGAGTTAGGACAACAGACGGAGGAGTAGCCTATCCTGGCAGTGTACCCGGTTCTCAAACACCAGGAGGCGGTGTAGTTTATCCAACCAATGTACATGGTAGTACCATAACTAGAAATGGTGTAGTTTATCCTGGCGGTGCACCTGGTACTACAACTGGAGGTGGTGTAGTTTATCCTGGCGGTGCACCTGGTACAACTCGAGGTGGTGTAGTTTATCCTGGTGGTGCACCTGGTACTACAACTGGAGGTAGTGTAGTTTACCCTGGCGGTGTACCAGGTACTACAGCTGGAGGTGGTGTAGTTTATCCTGGCGGTGCACCTGGTACAACTGGAGGTGGTGTAGTTTATCCTGGCGGTGCACCTGGTACAACTGGAGGTGGTGTAGTTTATCCTGGTGGTGCACCTGGTACTACAACTGGAGGTGGTGTAGTTTACCCTGGCGGTGTACCAGGTACTAGAACGACAGGAGGTGGAATAGCCTATCCTGTTAATGTACCTGGTAGTACAGCGCCTGGAGGTGGTGCAATCTATCCTAGCAGGGGATCAGAAGACACAATAACAACTAGTAAATTTGGTCCTTATCCCGGTTTAGTACCAGATAGTGATAGAACCTATTTAGGAAATACAGGGGACAGGGGAGCTACACGTGGTCAAGTTATAACAGAATCGAACGCCTCTGCAGATTCCAGAATATATCCAGGCCAAATTCCGGGAGTTCTGTATCCTGGAATGGTTGGAACAGGCCCATCAGTCAATGGCAATGTAGGTAGAACTACGACGACAGGGGCTGATGGTGGTATTGCTTATCCTGGTGGTGTTTCGCCGTCAGATAGACAATTAATATCAACTGGTGGAGATAGTACATCAGGAACACGTACTATAACACCAGGTGGTGTTGGTACATATCCTGGAACAGGTGATCGTATAAATTACCCCGGAGGTATTTCTACAGGTACTGGTGGTACAGGATTATACCCAGGTGGTGTTCTTCCAGGAATTAATCAACCAAGCGTTGATCGTGGTACCATATATCCTTATCCTGAAAGTACCCAAGTTAGACAAGGCGGGTATCCTCCTGGTGTTCAAGTAGGATCTGACAATACGCATCTTCAAAACATTGGAAATGGAGGATCAGGAATATTATATCCTAATACCGTACTAAAATATCCCGGAGGTCCCATGACACAGTACCCTGGAGCGGAAAAATATCCAAGCACATATCCTTCTGGATATCCACCGCAAGGACAATACCCTGGTGCGACGACATGGAATACTGGACAAGGTCAAACTATACCAGATATAACCGGAGGGCGTGTATCAGAGGAAATTAATAGACAAGGAGCTGAACGATATCCAAGTCCAGAACAAAATGTTAGACAACAATATTTAGGAGTACGGTATCCAAATGAAATGGGACCAGCAGGAAATACTAGAGAAATTTCCCAGTATTATCAACAAGCCGGTAGTTTTCCATCCACGGGTGATGACAATTCTGATTCTCAAGCGTCTAGTTCTGTAAAACAAACCGATTCAGGTACACAAGCTAGTGCGTCGGCTCAAGGGACGCAAGGTCAAGGTACAGCCCAATCTCAAGTGACAGGTACGTACAGTGGCTCTGGATCATTTGCGGCCCAGGCTGGTAGCAGTGATGTTAATAAAAGTGCTCAAACTGAAATTAGCGGCGATCAAAATGGTGCTACAAGCAATTCTCAAGGAACGGGTGGTTATGGAAAAAGTCAGGCTCAAGTTCAGCTGGATTCTGAATCTGGTGCTACGTTGACGGATGCACAGAGCAGCGGTTGGAATCATGGTACTAATTCTCAAGTACAAGCAAGCACAAGAGGTGGTATGGCGGACGCCCAAGCAAATGGCGAAGGGAGTACTTCAAGTCAAGCGCAAATTGGTTTTCAACCGTATCTTAAAACGGATGAGAAGCTTGAAAGACATTCGAGACCTTTCCGCGGAGGCGGAACAGCCTCCGCTCAGAGTGGTACAAATAGAGGTCAATCTCAATCTCAACTCGAAGGATCCTTCCAATATGGGATTACGTACACCGGCGCTGCGCAGGCAGGATCAGGATCCGGTGCAGTAGCTTCTAGAAAACCGTTTAATTTTAACCGCACAGATACAGAGCTATTCCATCCATTTAAACCGTACAATATTCCACAAATTGGAAAAAATAATAAGAGCGAGACAACAAATTTATCGTCGGACGCTGATTATGAATACAATCAAAGTAAACTTCCACAAGGTTTACAAACAAGTTCGAGTTCTCATAAAATAATTACTAGTAACGTAACGGGTGAACAGTCTCAGAATGGGGCTAACAATCAAAATCAGTCTTCTGAAAAATCACATGTAGACGATACTATGTACGAGTACGATGAAGAATATGATGGAGACGATTACGATACCTCGCAGATGCAAACTTCAATGACTTCGAAACAATCGAAATCTTATATCGCGGAACAAAATAACAGTGATCATCAATCGCAAATAATACAATTTACAACTGGAAATCGATACGATGTCCGTGTGAACCAGGATTCCAACACAGCACAGCCTGGTGATACACTTCAATTAGGACAATCGTTACCAGGGTACACAATTCCACCGGGTTTTCGTGGTAGAGTAACATCTATAGCTGGTGATGAAACTATTGCTCACGGTGACGGTAAATCTCAGTCTCAAACAGTTTCTTTAACTCCGATAGAACCAAACATTACTCGTGAGAATAAATCGCCTATTACGGAAGTCAGGTCACTTGAAACCGCTCATGAAAAATTAGCCAAAGATCATACTTTATTTAGAGATAAACACCAAAGACATGGTTTCCCTCGTATTAAAAATCAATTAACATCCATGGAGTACTCTAAGCCTACTACTAACGTGCCGATAAAATCAAGTTATTACACGGTAACAAACAGCTTTGCTGGCAAAATGGACGGTAGTAAAAATTCACCGAGGAAGTATGAACATCGCTATTATACCAAAAGTTCTACTTGTGGATACTTCACATTTTCGTGTAACGTTGTGTATGGTTCTAATGGCAGGACAAAAATCTGCAAGCCTAAAATGCCAACACATCCCGATGGTACACCTGTGAAATGTTAACTGAATGTTATTAATTCTGAAATCTCATATTGCTTAGGAAAATTTTCCTTCTCATTTTATTTTCGTACATTACTCCATAGTTTACTAACATTAGACATACTTTTTATTACAATTTAGACTATTCTTCTTTTTTTATCTTTTGCATTAATTACAAACACAAATATTTATGATCGTTCATACACTTTATGAATATACGCATAGTACTATTGTCTCTTACATACATACATAGTATATATCATTTTTTATTGAGGTAATTGTACTGAATGTACGTCATTATCAATTTAATAATGCATACATCTGCTACTAGTATTTATCCATAAATACTTTATCAATAAAACACATATTCCACAAATAAAAAGTTCTGCATTCTATTCTTCTTCAACTGTAAATTGCATCAAGTGATAAATATATATATTTCGAATATTTTCATTAAATTGACTACAGACAAATGCAAATTTAAATACTAATCATTCTACTTAAAATTAATATAATAATTACTACGTAACATAGATAGATACACGCACAAATGTTTTACCTATTTTACATGTATTTGTGACACCGTGGGAATCGTAAATTATAAATATCAGGTATCATAGATGGTACAGATCATCACTCATTTTTCAACTTCACCAGTCTTTAGGTAAGAGGCAAAATTTATAATTACATATATTATTTACCTATATACAATGTTTATATACATGCAATAAAAATATTTAAAAAATAATATGTTGGAATGTAAACTTTTTACATATATGGATATACAGGAAAATACTTTCAAAGCAAAAGAAAAAATATATATATAAAGATAAGTATATACAGTAGAACAAAGAACAAGTAAGTAATATAAATCTAAAAACATATCCTAATAATTTTAAACAATAATACAATACTGAAATAGGCAGTGATTTACCATTACTCAAGCTCACCTGTTAAATAAATTACTCTTGCCTATACCCTTAATAGTCATTTATACAATTAGAAAGAACTACTAAATCAACTGACAACATTTCCAAACATTTTGGAAAATTTAGGAAAAAATGCTTTTCACATTTCAAATCAAATATAATATTATCGAAATGAGTGAATACTAGGCTTGTTGAAATTCATACGCTGAAACAATATTTATACAATGTTACTTTAATTTTTAAATTATAACATACATTAATATGTTGTAACATACCATCTGCCAATTTTCCATCACTCTTTGTACGTAATTTGTCTTCAATATTTTCTCCTATTCCTACGTCTACTGTATAGGAATCAGTACTGATAACAAATTAATTGACAGTAAGTGTTCTACAATCTAACTAAAAAAATTTGAATATGAAATATTGTAAAAGTATCAATCAGTATTATTGTTATTTACCTATTTCGAAAGTGCTCCAATTGTACATTAGCAGATTCTAATTGTTCTAAAAGATCTTCATTCGCCCGTTGCAATTTACGAACACTATTAGCTGCAGCATCTACTTCATCCTGAGCTGCAGCTAACTCTTTCTTCAATTCTTCTACCCTTAATCTTACTCTTTTCACTTCTGCCTCATACTGTTCTGATCTCCTCATTGCATGCAAAAGCTCTGTTGTTTTCTCCTCCAAAGATTTTTTTAATATCTGCCAATTTTTTTAATTTGATCAATAAATATAAGGGTACAATAAAAATATATTCCATTTAAATGAAGATCAGACGTTAGTTCACGATACAAACCGTATTTCTCACTAAAAGTTCTTGTTGCAACTGTCTTGTATCGCTATCAGATGTGGAAACCGGACGCGTTCGTCGGGATTCTATTCTTTCTTGTAAATCATGTAACTCATTACGAAGTTGTTTATTTTCTCGTTCTAACGAAATTTTGTCTGTTTCTAAACGTTCTCGTTTCCCCCATTCTGCAGCATTTTCAGCTTGAAGCTTCTCTAACTATAATTATATAATTAACAAAAAATAAAAATGTTTTAAATATTTGTCTTGCTTGTATATCCGTATATGTTCTATTGATAAAACTTACTTCAGCTCTAAGCTCGGACAAACGACGATTCATGCCTTCTCTGCTTGAAGCTTCATCAATTAAATCAGCTTGTACATCACTAAGCTCAATCTGAAACCGATCTTTTAATACAAGTAGTTCCCTCATAGCTTGGGCTTTATTTTCTTCCAATTCTTCGCATTGTTTTCTTAATTGTATTATTTCTGCCTTTAATTTCTCTATACCGCGATGTAACGAATTTTTCTCCCTGATAAAAAGATTTTAAATCAGTTAAATAAATACAAGTCAGAAATAAAACTAAACAAATGCCATTTTATATAATTACTCTCTTTCCGTAGAAATAATTTTTGTTGCTTCATCTAATTTTTGTTGAAGAGCTAACATTTTTTGTGCAGAAAATTCATCATTACATGTTTGCGTTGAAGACTGATGCTTTTCTACATTATCTTCTACAGAACTAGCATCTGTAACTAATCTTGCTATATCTTTATCCAATGAATTAATAGAATTCTCTTTGTATAATTCAACCCTGTGTTTTGGCACTGCCCCTTGCAGCACATACTCTTCAATGTCTCTGTCTGGTAAAATATTATGACTTCCTAAACATATGTTAGATTCCTCAAATGAAGCTTCACACGTGAGTAAATCCTTCTGGGGATTTATACTTTCACTCTGTTCTACATTATTGTAAAATTTTAAAAGTTCATCTATACCTAATGTACTTCTTAATTGTGGATCTGATTCTAAGACAGTGAAAATTTGTTGGTCAAATTGCCCAGCATGCTTCAACAATATTGTATGTACTTTCTCCATTTCCTTCTTTAATTGTTCATTTTGTAATTCAAGTTCTTGGCACTCGTGTTTATAACTATTTGCATCCTTTACAGCAATTTCTAATTTTGATCTAAGCATCTTTGCCTCTTCTCTTGCCATATTCCTTTCATTCCGTATTTTACTCCATTTTTCTCGCCAATTAGCCGTGCACTCTGACCACCACTTCATTGTCTTTTCCATTTGAGCTGCTCGTGCTCGTGCTTCTTCAAGTTCTCTTTGTCGTAAAGCCTAAAAATATTACTCTAATAAATGAATTAAAGTAGTACACGATGGCAACATGTTACAATGCATTATCTATTATTATAATATTAATCGTGTATCAAAAAGAGTGTATATTATTATTTTATTAACGGTATAACAAAAATTTAATATATATATAAAATATAACTTGATCTATATATAAACTAATAGAACAAATAATCCAGTGACAAATGTAAAGAATAGTAAACAATTACCTCTTTGGTTTCCCAGTCACTATCCACATAACGCGACGAGGACGATACACTATCATCGTGATCTCTCATATATCGTCGGGAAGACGTTCCACTAGTTGTTGACTGTGCCATAGTAAATGAAAACGTAACCTATAATGCTGTTTTCTATTCTCTTTTGAATTATGAAATCACTTTATGAATTTATAGATAATTTAATTCCGATATCTTATTTACACTTTTATTTGTATCATATTCAAAATAATTGCAACTTAAGTACAGTTTTTGTGTAATTTTAATCTTCATACATCACATATATGCATCTGGTGCTGCATTCGTATTATCTATATATAAACATATATAGATACATTATGTACATATAGATGTTCTATAGTTAGGTACTCCGTAGAAAGAGAAGGAAAACGTGTATACGCACACAACAAGTATTCACCTTACTACACTTATTTACTTTTACTTTTTATTATGGCTAAATGCAACAGTAAATGAATTAATATACGTTAAGGAAAGAATGCTATTACATAAATTAATTAATTAATAATAATCAAAGAGAATATTGGTAATTTTATTGTCATCAACACATACGTACATACATTCGTATAATACTAAATATCTAACAAGTTAGAATAAATTCAGACATCATATAAAGTTATGTGCAACTGTGTATAGTAATACAAAGTGATTAGAGATAAGGACTCAAGCAAAAGTTTAGAAGTAATTCTAAGTAAAAAATGAGAAATATTTGTATTATAGATTAACCACAATTTTTGTATAATCAATACAGTATTGTAAATATACACTTAATTCGTGACAAAACGACATTGTATGAAAGAAGATAATAATGAATACTGTAAAAAATAATTGCGAAACTGGAAGTGGCTTGGAGGACCTTGGTATACCCGGACAAGTTTTTTTAAGGGATGCTCTAACAAGTTGTACAGATCCATTAAAAGCAATCGAAGAATTTCAATTAGAAAATGGCATTTTGCTGCCGTCATTACGGCCTATGTTACCTTTACTTGATCTTCATGGAGTGAGAAGATTGGATTTCCATGCATCAGTTCTCGAAGAACTACGAGAAAAATTAGTAAAAAGGATTACAGAAATTGGACCAGAAAGAGCTGACAAAGGTTCAGCAGGGGATAGAAGACTAAAAGAATTACTATCAAAAAGTTTTCCAGCTGTAAGAGTTTCAGCACTAAGGCCTGTTGTCATGTGTATTTTAAGAAACACACCACACATAGAAGATAAGTATTTACGTGTACTTGTTCGAGAAAAGGAACTATATAATGATGCAGACACGGAAGTAAAACGACAAATTTGGAAAGATAATCAAAGTCTATTTGGGGATGAAGTTTCTCCATTATTTAGTAGATACATTATTGAAAAGGAACAAATTCTGTTTGATCATAGAAACTTAAACAGTCTCTTCTTCACACCTTCTCCCAAGGTATATATGTGTGTATACATTACAATGAGCATTAGAATGCATAGAATTTGATTCATTAAAAATGTAAAAATCTATTCTAGGTGCGAAGGCAAGGTGAGGTAGTACAAAAACTAGCTCATATGATTGGACATAGCGTGAAGTTATATGATATGGTATTACAGTTCTTAAGGACTCTATTTTTACGCACAAAAAATATACATTATTGTACATTAAGGGCTGAATTATTGATGGCCTTACACGATTTAGAGGTAGATTAAATCAGATTGCATTATATAGTATTACATAGAATTAATATATTGATCAAAAAATTATTTAATATTTAGGTACAAGATATTATTTCTGTTGATCCATGTCATAAATTTACATGGTGCCTTGATGCATGTATCAGAGAAAAAAATGTTGACATCAAACGTTCACGTGAATTACAAGGTTTTCTGGATAGCATTAAGGTACAGCAAATTATATTTGTATTTTATAATACTAGCACTTATTGCAATAGGAAAGTGAAATGATCTACAGTTTTATACAGAGAGGACAAGAACAGGTGTTAGGTGATTTAAGCATGACATTATGTGATCCATATGCAGTAAACTTTCTTGCTAGCAGTGCAATAAAAATTGCACTTCATTTAATAAATGGTGAATCATTGCCTAGAGAAAATGCAGTTCTTGTGTTACTGCTAAGAATGCTTGCATTAGGCTTGTCTGCCTGGCAAATGATTGATTCACAAGATTTCAAGGAACCAAAATTGGATAGTCAAGTGGTTACAAAGTTTCTGCCAGCACTTATGTCTTTAATGGTAAATTGATGTGCATATTGTGATAAACACTTTCAAACTTACGTAACATAATCAACAATAAATAATTTATTTTTTAGGTAGATGATCAAATAAGGCAACTAAATTGTAAACTTCCACCTGATGAAAGAGAAAGTGCAATTGCTATAATAGAACATTCTGGTCCACCTCCTGATGCTTGTCAAGCGTATGCACAACTCTCAGGAGTTGCAGCGGTTTTATCTATGTATTATGCATTACATGTAGGAGGAGGAGGTGGAGTAGGAAGAGGAAGAGGCGATGCTAGAGGATTAATGAGGGTATTAGCCACTTTACCAAATTGCCAAGCACAACGTGCGTTCGAAGATCCATTTTTACACACTTTGGTAAAGCTATATAATTTATAACTTGAATAATCTATAAATAATATAATTACTTAAATATAATTATACTATATGAAACCAAATGTTTTTTTATAGGTATCTTTGTTAATATTAAACATGGCCGATGAATTTTCTAACGAATCATTTTGTACAGTCATATTTGATGAATTCTTCTTAGCAGGCTTAGGCAGAGACAATGTTACGCGTCATTTGTTAAAATTACTTTGGTACATTCATCCAAAATTACCACCAACTCGTCTACATACGTTAATGAAAGCACTTCAACCAACTAGTCAGGTACTGTTATTTAAAATGAAAAACAAAACAGAAATAATACATAAATTTTATCTATATTTATCATCTTAGCACAATGAAGCTGTACATAACCTCTATGAAGCTTTACGTGATAAAATTGGAAGCCGTTCTGCGGAAGATCAGTTAGGAACAGCAGTACAAATGGATACATTAGGACTTGATTGTCCACCTTCTCCACTCACTGGCGTACCTACACCGTCTTCATTGTAAAAACCAGAGTATGCACGTTTTTGAAATTTAAAATATTGAAAAAAAAAATGACTTGGTAAATTTACTTGCAAGCAATTGTATTTTATATTTTGTATGTTTTATCTTACTTAAATTGTAAGTTGAAAGACCAATACAAATTTTATATTTTCATACAACTGTGAAAAATCACATGGCAATATGTGTTTTCTATTTTTATTTTATTTTCATTAACTGCTAAATACAAAAACATTTATTTTCAAAATGATTACATTGTAATGTCAATTGAAATAATTTACATAATTTGAAATATATTAGAAACTGATGGTATCATCTATATTTACTATTTTGGTGTTATTAGTTAGTTCTGCCACTGTTCTATCTAAATAATTTGAATCCAATTTATATGACATTAAAATCATTGAAATATACATTGAGGCCTGTTTCTTGGACAGTAAAACTTTCAACTGTGGATCTATCATGCCTAACCTAAAAAATACAGTTAAATAATGGTATTTAATAGAATAACGAACTTATATTATTTTGTAATACTCACATTTTAATAATAATGAGGCCAACAAGAGTCCATTCAGCAGTTTTAAAAGTAATGTTTGTGGCAGATAATGAAAAAGTATTAACTAATGCTTTAATCAAAGCACTTTTCTCACTGGTATAAGTATAATGTGGTAATCCATTACCAGCTAGAGCCTGTATTAAATCCGGTAATCTGTAAAAACAACTAATTATTAATGTTCAGAAAGATACAAATTTATAATAATATTTACAAATTAAGAATGACATTACATCCTATCAAGTTTATCCAAAAAAATTCGACGTCGAAGTGCTTTGGGTGTGTGTACATCTATTAAAGGTAACAATGGGATAGGTTCATCCTTTTCTGTATCATCTGTGATCTTGCTTGAAGTTTCTGTAACCAAATCTCCTTTGTAGAATGCTCGTACCTAAAAATGATCTTCATATGAACCAGTAATCATTAAATAACAGTTTAAGTTATATTGATTATGCTTACTTTTAATTCTATTTTCTTTCCCTCTTCTTGAAGAACAGACAAATGTGGTAAAGGTTTCAAAGTACTTTTGGTTATATCTATACGATCATCTTTTTCATCTTCTAATTGTAATTTATTTAACTTCTTACATAAATGCAAGTATTTGTTATGCTGCCTTATATTATCTAGTAACTGCTGTTTAATGTCTTCTTCACCTGATAATAAACAAAGAGTATCTTCAGTAATCCACTCCTTCACACTACATTCAATGTGCATTGTAAGATTATAAAATTCGCTTGATTGCTTCTCTTTAACATGATGTTTTTGTTTATGTTTTTTATTTTTTTTATTTTCTATTTTTTGTTCAAGATGGTTGCTATCTTGTTTAATAGCAGTTATATTACATTCTGTTTCTAATACCTCACTTAATCTAGTTTGTTCTTCGTTATTAATCTTATTACAATCTCTGGCTTCATTAAGACAAGTAACGTCATTATTTAGGTCTTTGATAGTAGTATCATTTGTACATTGTTTAGGATTATTAGTTGTATCCTCCAAATGAATGGATTCATTTCTCACATATTCAGGATCTTTATCAGAAATCTTTAAAAATTTTTCTTTCATTTCTTCTGATTCTTGAATACTATCACTTATTTCTGTGGCTTTAATAATTGTTTGTGAACTTTCTAATATGCTACACTCATTATCAAATATGACATCCTTATTGAGAGGTTTGTCTTTCACATCTTCACATATTTCATTGTGTTCTACCAGTTTATCTTTGTTATCAGAATGTACTGTTATATTTGTATTCCACAAAGGAATTTCTTCTCCAGGTGTACTTCTTTCTAACAAATCTTTTTCTGGTAGAAGTTTAAATTCTGGTATTTCTTCTTTGTCTCTGAGCCAAAGTGGACTTGTTAACATTTGTTCCAACAGGTAATTACAAGCTCCATAACACCGGGAAGTACAAAAGTTTTTACGACGAGTTATATCGTAAACTTTATTTTTTCTTGTTGAAATATGATACTTTTGATCAATTACAGTTGTTAATGCATTGGAACATAATACATAGCCACATAATTTAATTATAGATCTTTCTTCAATCACATCTTCCATATGATTTTTATTAATGTACCTTAACTATGAAAATAATAATATAAATATCGATGAGCAAACCTTTAATATTATTTTATATTACTTACATTATACAAAAGCCACTGAGAATCAATATTAGGTTCTAAAAGTTGTTCAACAATTGTTAAAGCTTTAGCATCACATTGTTTCTTTTTAATTATTGCTAACTGCATTTGTGCCTTGCTTAAACAAAATCGTAATTGTTTAAAAAAAGCGTCATAAAGGTTTCCCAATATCTAATTTACATTAACAAATACATTTTCAATTATATTTATGATAAAACAAATCTTACCTCATTTTTTTTTTAACTTTTTTTCTTTCTGGTGGTTCTTGTTTTAGCGTAGACGTTGACATTTCGGAACAATAATTAAAAATGATAGCTGTGTATGTAATTTTAAACAATCTGTTTCAATCCGTAGGTACGACCAGAGCAGTGTGGCGGATTGAGTGCATCAACGACGACACTAATAACGACGAACTTCCTTAGCGTCTAACGAAGACATGAATGATCTACTGGAGGAGCCATGTTACGCGAGCTCGACTTTCCTTCTTGATCTTGAACAGTGGAAGTCCGTCTTCGCGTCAATGGCATACAATTTCGAATCTCGACTTCACTCAAGATCGAAGATGATCAAGAAGATGTTTCACGAATAGCGGCCAAGAGACAACCCGGGTTTTTTTGAAGACGAAGAAAGACGAAGAAAATCACATTTTTGGGAACAACTATGAGAGACATCTCTCATAAGGAATAACTCCGAAATAAAACTGAACATGATATATTTGCCTATATTATACAAATTGAATTAAATATTAAATAAACATTCTTTGTTATAAAATTAAAGAATTATTAGTAAATAAATCGTTTGAAAATAATTTCGAAAGTCTTACTAGATAGACTATATTCAAACGATTTATTTCCAAAGTATTGTATTATTCCAAATAATAGTTTTTTAATTTTATAACAAAGAATGTTTATTATTAGTCCTTTCGTAGACCAGTTTTAACTTTTATTTTGCATCGCTCCACTAGAGATCGCATGAACTACCAGGAGTATTGATTTTTTGTTTCAGTAAACAACTGAGCGCTGCCGATAGGTGCTGCCCACTGGTAGCTACTTGTCGACAAGTAGCATGCACATGAGGAAATAATGCTCATTCATAGAAATTAAAAATAATGCCTTGGCACTACTGAGCAGTCGAGATTCGAAATTGTACGCCATTGACGCGAGAACGGACTGCATTTGTTCAAGATCGAGAAAGAAAGGTTCGCACTCGTCTTCTTTCTCGATTTCCCGAAGTTGTGCGAAGAGCCGAGCTCATGTAATATGGCTCGTGCAGTAGATCGTGTCTCTATTAAACGCTAACGAAATTCGTCGTTACTAGTGTCGCTGTCGATGCACTCAATTATGCGAAATCTGACCACATTGATTGCAGGCTAATGTAAATGAAAATGAAATGATCGAAATTGTCGATGCTCAGTGATACAAATTTATGCTGTATGAGAGGAAAGTAAGAGGGATTGTTTTAGTAGCGTGTGAATGAAACCCTAGATGCTATTTAAACTTTATAACAGGTAATCAATCCCGTAAACAGATCATTATTTATTAAAAATGTATCGCTGCATTTTATTATTTGTGTACGTCATTTAAATAAAATATGAACAATACTAATTATGCATCGTGGATCTAGTAATGTCTGGGTATACTGATATTCAATATCAAAATGCAACGATACATATTTAATAATTAATAATTGAATTCTTCGATGGATAATCTATTTTAAACTTAAACGCGAAGCAATTTTATAATTTGGTTGAATTAATAACTTATAGTTTATTGTTAATTGGACCATATTCTAGTAAACTTTGTATCCTTCTAGATCCAAAAGATGATAGTAGTAACGTTGGTCAGCTTGTCTTTAGTATTAATCAAAAAATAGCAAATGTAATTTTGTTTGTCATATACAGTCTCTAATTTTAACAAAATCAAATCCATATATTATTCGTCCTTGTAACTAGGACAAAAATGTATTACCATTGCATTGTAATTAATATTATAAAGGTCAAAAATTTAATAGATAGATTTAGTGTGTCTGTATAACATATAACACACTCTAGTGGTAATTCAAAGAAACACTGAACCGGCTGTCTTGTAGAAGTAGAGGTCTACTGAAGTAAATGGAAAAAGAGACCAGTAGAGTGTGACTGATTGTATGGTGTGATCTTGAAGTGGTGTTACGTTTTCAGTATTATCTTGTTGTGCTCGCCATGACGTTAGTTTGAAATTGTATTTCAAAATATTAATCCCGATGTTGGTCGCAGGACTGTGCCAATGTAGTTTTCATGCTTTTAACGAGGAGAGAATCCGGGGAGGCAATTCGTGGATACCGAAGAAAGCTTCAAACACGTTTGAAGCTTTCGAGGTCGTATTCATGGAACTATGAACCTGGACTCGTTGTCTTTTACTTTGTCACAAATCAGTTATTTGGTTGCGAATTTAAATAAGAAAAATTTTCGGGACAGCTGCCAAGAAATATCAGTTGTAAGTAGACAAAAAAACCTGTTGTTCTACACATCTCTTATGCCCACCCCTTCCACTTTTCTGTTCATCACACGCCGTCCTCGAAACAGCGCAATATGCTTTCTGAACATTTTTATCAATTTCATTTAATTTTGTTCATTAAGACAAACTTTTTTATAGAAAAAATAATGCACGAATTTGTGTACAACTATAAATATTTATTAATAATTATTGATAATTTAGTATTCATGCGGCATGAAATACACCTTGAACTTAGCCTCTTTCCGTGATTTGTCTGTGTTCCAACGTATCATTTCGAACGATGAAACTTTTTTAGGTCTCTCAACACGCATTTCTCTCTCCATAATAATAATAATAATATAGTTATTTAGTAACTAAATCAATTTTTAAATACATATTTTGCTTCGCATTATTTTGAAATGATTTTTACAACCCTTCCTTTTCGCACTTCTATTGTTAAAAATCTAATTATACCTCAGAGTTTGTGTTTTATATATTTCCTTTTATATAAATATTCAATATATGATAGTTCAGTCTATTTTAAAACACATTGTATTCTAGCTGGTGCAGTGGAAGGGTCTGGAGGCAGACAGACACTTGCTGCGCTCTTTGCTCTCGTGCATCGATTTTTCAACAGGCGAGCCACCAGAATTAAGTGCGAAAGATTATTTTCAAGTGCAACTTCTAAAGCAAGAGTGTACTAATCTTCTTAGCAAACCCTCTTTTATTTCTAATCTGTGTTTTGCTATAGACCACCCACTTCATCAACAAAAGGTTTTTATTCTACTTTTTATTTAGGTTAAACTACCATAACAAGTTTTCATATATTAAAAATTTTTCTTTACTGTAATACTTGGGAAATTAGTTTTAATTAACTTCACTTTTTCAGACTTTGAATCCATCGCCAAAGTTTTTTTTACGTTTGAAAAAGGTACTTGGTTTAACTTTGGTACAAGAAGTTGCATTCGCAATTGGATTGCTGCATTCTGAGAATACTGAAATTTGTACATTAGCTCTAGAGCACGTACAAAAGCAGTTACCTGAATTGATAAAAAATTATATTAACTCTGAGACGAGCAATAAACATCACGAGGAAGGTTTGCACGATTCACTGCCTGAAGTTCTACATCTTATATTATCACAGGCTTTTCACTCAGCCAATCAATTTGGCCTTTCATCGGAAGCAAAAGAAAAATTTCTCAAGAATTTAAGGCGCGATTTTCCCCGTGAGCTGGTACCAGTGGTGCTAGCACCACTCTTGTATCCAGACAACGGGGAAACTCCGCAAGCCAAAATTGAATTAAACATGGCTGTTAATCAAATGGTAAAATAAATTAATGTTTGTCATTGTGCAGTTTTTTTTTGTTAAACTTCGAATTTTAATCTTTAGAATACATATAATGTATGCTTTTCAGGATGGGAATTCTCTAGTAGAATTGATTATGGAATTAGGATATGGATTTACTAGCAGTGTTGAAGAATGTCGATCAGCCTTAGCTGGCCTAGGTGCTCGAGAAATATCTCCAGCATGTGCTGCAAGAGTTTTAGCTCACATGGCACGTAGCTGCAATAACCTTGACGATGCTGGAGGTTTACAATCATTTTGGGGTAATTCAGGAGCTGCACAAGATGCAAATAAAGAAAAGTCTGCTGACAATGCTGCTCCTGGTACATGGAATGTTGAAATCTTTATTCAAGCTTTAAAAGAAATTGTATGTAGTAATAGTTGATATAATTATGGTATTCTAAATTTATCGTGTTAATTAAATATTAAGCTGTATTATTATTTCAGCAATCTACACTGTCTTGGAATGATGTGATAATTAAATTGGACCATGCAGAGTTTGTTATTAAAGATAGGCAGGGATTGAGTTTACTTATCACAGGCTTGAGGATGGGATTACAACATCAAGGATATCCACCAGATATGTTTCCTGTAGAACTTTTTTATCGTCATTGGGACAATGTAGAAGGACAATTCTCTATAGTACAACAAATTCTGAAGTGTCCCGATATATTTTGCTTCGCTGATTATCCATATCACTCAGTGACAGTTGATGTGTTAAAAGCGGCACCGGAAAGTGACAGTAAGGAAGCACAAACTTGGAGATCCTTAAATGTAGTTGAGTTGCTCCTACACATGGCAGAAAGAGGACTGTACGGACCAGTTCAAGAAATATTCAAATGGCCCATTCAGCACTGTCCTGATGTCCTTGTATTGGCATTATTACAGATTAATGCTCCTATCACTATATTGAGACAAGAATTACTTAGTACATTAATGCCTATTTTTCTTGGAAATCATCCAAACTCTGCTGTCATTTTGCATCACGCATGGCATGGCAATACTGTTAAAATAAAATCTATTATCATGCATGCTATGGCAGAGTGGTACATACGCGGAGATCACGACCAAACAAGATTGTCTCGTATTCTTGATGTTGCTCAAGACCTTAAAGCATTGACTCATTTGCTCACTGCTCAGTCATATCCATTTGTTATTGACTTAGCTTGTTTAGCTTCAAGAAGAGAATATTTAAAATTAGAAAAGTGGTTAACAGATAAAATCAGAGAACAAGGAGAGGTTTTTGTTACTGCTTGTGTAAAATTTTTACAACGGCGGTGTCCTCAAGTAATGGGACCTGGAATAAAAGAAGATCTTACAGTTCCAAAAGCAAGTCAACTTCCACAAGAAACATTAACAACTATGCTTGCTTGCTTACAAGTGTGCGCCGGGTATGTCTCATGTGTAAATTTTTAAATAAAAAATTTGATACATTTGAGAACACTTTTCCATTTTTGATATATTTCTTTCAAAGGAGTGTTTCTCAAGAATGTTCCGAGGCAATAATGGGTATGGTACAAAACTGCAGTTTAATGTTGAGTAAAACTACAATGAGTAGGCCCCCACCACCAGGAGTTTTAAGACATCGGGGATTAGAGCCATTTAATCCAGCTACATTAAGCGGACAGGTAACTAGTAGAACTATGTATGAACAATTTTTTTTTATATTTTACTGTATATGAAAACACATTCTATTTAATTCTATAGCTATTTTCTTCTAAACAAGTGGATCCACTTGGGAACTTGAGTTCAAGTCTTGCATCTATGGGTCTAGGATCCAGTCTTGGACCACCAAGCAGTTCCGCGTTCAATTTACCCGGTGCTCTTGGACCTTTGGTATCAGCGCCTGGTTCACCTTCGCGCCTTATGGGGCCTTCTCCAAGTCCATTTCCAATGTTGCCATTATCTTCTCAGTTGCATTCAGGGCCAGTTGGTACACAAGGGCCATCTGTTCTCCCTAGTAGTACAACGATTGGAGGATTAGGTCGTCTTGGTCCACCAACGGGCATTGAGAAAGCAAGAATACCCGAAACTTCAAATTTATTTCCTGATATGACACAAAATGTTTCCAAAGAAATTGAGGATGAAGCGAATAGCTATTTCCAACGTATATACAATCATCCACCACATCCTACTTTATCAATTGACGAAGTTCTTGATATGTTAAAAAAATTCCAAGATTCTGGTAGTAAAAGAGAAAGAGAGGTATTTAATTGCATGTTACGGAATTTATTCGAGGAATATCGTTTTTTCCCTCAATATCCCGATAAAGAATTGCAAATCACGGCACAGTTATTTGGTGGAATCATTGAAAAAGGCTTAGTTAATAGCTACATGACACTTGGACTGGCTTTGAGATTTGTTTTGGATGCTCTTAGGAAACCAGAAGGCAGCAAGATGTATTATTTTGGCATAACAGCTTTGGATCGTTTCAAGAGTCGTTTAAAAGACTACCAAACATATTGTGAGCACGTCAGGGCAATTCAGCATTTCAGTGAGTTCCCACCTCATTTAATTGAGTACATAGAATATGGATTACAGGGGCAGGAGCCTCCTACAAGACCTCAAGGTCCAGTTCTCCCAAAAACTTTAGCAGCTATGTTAGCACCTGTTACAACACCATATAAAACTATCACAACAACAACTATAACGACGAGTACCACTCAAACAAAATCGTCCACGACACCCACTACATCTCTCTCAGCTAGAGTAAGTAAAATTTAAATTTTATTGAACCCTCCTGCTGTATATTCCATACTTTAGAATTCATCACATAAGACGCTACAAAAAAAATATAGAAGCAACATGTTTTTCTGGATTATTTATAACAAATATAATCTAAAAAAAAAGTAATTATTTTTTAAATCATATTTCATAATTTTATTAAACAGTGAAAGGATTAAATTATTCGTTACATAGTATAACTATTTTTATAGTTTTTATCATTTTTCTTTTTAATTTTAGCCTTCAATTGCCAATGCAACAAATATTGATACATTATTAGTAGCAACAGATAAAGAGGAAAAGATTACTACACCACCAGAGGCTTTACAAGATAAAACAGCATTCATTTTCAACAATCTTAGCCAGCTTAATTTACAGCAAAAATGTGATGAAATTCGGGAAATTGTCACTGAAGAGTATTGGCCTTGGATGGCTCAGTATCTAGTAATGAAACGTGCAAGCATAGAACTAAACTTCCATGCCTTGTATTCAAATTTTTTGGACTGTTTAAAGTTACCTGAAGTAAATAAAATGGTTACTAGGGAAACATTTAGAAACATAAAGGTATTTGAAGGATTTTATTTTGCATGCAATTATTTTTAAAGCATCTGTGTTATTCCTTACTTTGATTGCAGGTTTTGTTACGAAGTGACAAAGGAATAGCGAATTTTTCTGATCGATCGCTTCTAAAAAATTTAGGTCACTGGTTAGGAATGTTAACTTTAGGCCGAAATAGGCCAATTTTACAAATTGATATAGATCTAAAAAGTTTGCTTGTTGAAGCATATCATAAAGGTCAACAAGAACTTCTTTATGTAGTTCCCTTTGTTGCTAAAGTGCTTGAAAGTTGCGCAAAAAGTCGGGTGTTTCGTCCACCTAATCCTTGGACAATGGCAATAATGAATGTATTGGCAGAACTTCATCAAGAACCTGATTTAAAATTAAATTTAAAATTTGAAATTGAAGTACTTTGCAAGAATTTAAGCATCGATGTTGGTGTGAGTTTATTAGCGATAAATGTTGTCTTGTATTATATACCAAAATTAATAATCCTATTATTATTTTACACAGGAATTGAAGCCCGCGCTTTATTTGAAGGATCCAGAAAAATTACGGAATTTAGAATATCAATTATCACATCCTAATAAGAAAGCTGAAGCAAAGAACAATCAGCAACAAACACAAGGTCCTATTGAAGAATTAGTTGGTCCTACTACAACTGGAACAATTGTTTCACAAGCACCTCCTGCAAATACAACGCCATCTTTGCCTACTGGTCCACCAGAACCGCGCTTCAACTATATGGATATATCCGTAACAAGCATTGCTAACATTTCTCAGCATATCACCATTAATAATCAGGTATAAATTGATGTTTATTCCGTTTTTATTTAATTCTCACATAATATTAACTATATCCTTTATAATTAATACAAATTTCAGCTTCCATTGTTCCAAACTCACCCGCATTTAAAGCAATTCGTTCGCCCAGCTGTTGAAAGGGCAATTCAAGAATGGATACATCCTGTTGTTGACCGTTCGATTAAAATAGCTCTAACTACTAGTGAGCAAATTGTAAGAAAAGATTTTGCATTAGATCCAGAGGAAGTTCGAATGAGAACAGCGGCAAGACACATGGTTCGTAACTTAACTGCTGGAATGGCTATGATCACTTGCCGTGATCAGGTAAGTTTTTAAAAACTTTTATATACATACATTGATTCTATGATTCCTGTGTAATAATCCTTTGCTATACATTCTTTCAGGTTCTGGCGTCAATTAGTACAAATTTAAAACAAGCCTTTCTATCCGCAATGATGGGCACAACTCCGCAGCAAAAAGAACTCGCGGAACAAGCAGCTAATGTAGTAGCCACTGACAACATGGAGCTTGCTTGTGCATTTGTACAGAAGACTGCTATCGAAAAGGCTATTCCAGAAATGGATAAGCGTTTACTGAATGAGATTGAATTACGGAAAATTGCACGTCAGGAAGGGAGAAGATACTGTGATTCTTTAGCTAAATATCAAGCAGAGAGAATGCCTGAGCAAATTAGATTAAAAGTAGGAGGTGTGACACCTCAACAAATGGCTGTTTATGAAGAATTTGCAAGAAATATTCCAGGATTTTTGCCACTTTCAGAACGCGATACGCAAGCTCTGTTAATGCCAAAACCCGTCACAGTAAGTGTTTTACACCGTACGTTCCTAATTCTTACACAGTAGAGCCTTGCTAATCCAAATGTCGGATACTACGGTAGAATTCGTAACTTAAAAGACGAATTCCTCGGCATTAAAATATTCAAACAGCCAAAATATTTTGAGTGCTGGAGTACAGTAAATTCTCGCTAATCTGGACACATTTAATTTGGTAAAGTTCATATTTTACATGGCACGCAGGACTGCAGGATTTAAAATGACAGACAAGTTACTCTATTGATGGAACAAACATTATATTCTAGTAAAAAATTTTCCTTCCTATTTAGTATTGTTATTAACTCTGAATGGAGCAGATGTTATTACTTATACCGTTTCATTTGTGTATTTCTTTATACACGTATCAGTTAATATATTTTATATAATTATCTTTTTTCAAGAAGAAACAAAATGGGGGAAAAAGAAAACATGTTATTTTAACTATCCTGAATAAGTTCATAGTGATAGAATAATTTAAAAATGCTGTTTTTAGCTGAAAAATTTAATAATTGTACAACAGACAATGTCAGGCATTATAAACCAAGAAGAAACTATAGAGCCGTGTATTTAAAATTTTAATATTAATGATGATGACAGTATCAAATAGACAAACATTGAAAAAATAAAAAAAAAAATTATTTAAATGACAGATTGGATGAAGTCTGCTGCTATCGGCAAGGCTAAGAATCTAACAGCATTAAAAGACTACATATGCATATTACCTGTTGTATATTACAACTAAAAAAATGCCTGATTCATACCACAAAGAGACATTAGAGGGAAGAGTTAAAATTTCCAAATGATCAGATCAATCCTTTGACGTCTACATCTATATCTCGTTCAGACTCCAAATTTTATGCTTGGTGTCTATTAGAAAGTTTTGCTTTTAAGAGTAAGACTTTAGTAAACAGAATTCAGAGTAATAGGTTCTTTTATACGGATACGCAGATGTTTGAAAAAAATTAGATGACAGACTAATTTTACGAGATAAAGTCTTTCAGGCTGTGCTAGGAACAGCTAGAGACACTGAAACCACAAATGAAAATATCCAAGATTGGCTCAAACTGAATAAAGGAGACCCTGATTTTCAATATCTAACCGAGGAAGAAATTATTGTAGATATTGTTAAGGCATTTGCTATAAAAGAAGTATCAAATAGTGCACTAGATAAACCAAAAGAATTTACAATTGAAAAACAACTTTTTAGTTCTTTAAAAAATAGCACTGATGCTGTAATCAATTATGTGTGGACTCTTTATCAAATCAAGAATTGCAAGCATATTATAAACATCTAAGAACTGTGAGAGCTATTCAAATTAAAAAAAACTGCAGCAGAGGTCTGTTTAAACAAAACTTGACAAAAATTGTATCTTTTATCAGTTTTTAAATAGATTTCCATCCAATTAATCTGGATTAACGAGGTTTTACTGTACCATAGTGTTTGTTATATATTTGAAATAATTTTTTTTTCTTGGAGGAACCTGCTGTAACTGCATTTGCCGCTAATCCGGCAGTTGCGGTAGCAACTGCACAACAGGTAGCTGCATACGCGGCAGCAGTAAGTAACGATGAAGTTGGAGCTATGTTAGAAAAGCTTGCAGCCGAAGTTGAAGTATTACTTGCTGCGATGGGCCCAGCTGTACCTCCTCCGCAACATGGCGCCCTTCATAGTTTGCTAGAATCTATTATCCTTACACGAAGATCAAGAGATGCAGGCGCTGCTATGACATTACTTAAGAAAGTAAGTTGTTTAGATTGCAGAGGATCTTTTACCATTTCGTAATCTATTCGGCTTCGAGATGCGAACAATTGATATTTAAAAATTTTTTAAATATAATAATCACACGTGATCAGCATGCCTGCAAACTATCCATCTTGAATTTCAGGCTGTAGAAGGACTATTAGATGGTCCTACAATTTCAAGCGGTGTGATAGATTCTGAAATTATACTGCGATATAGAGAACTTCATTTACGTATTTTGAAGTGTCTTCAAGATCCACGTGCTTATGGTATGCAGTGGACAAACAAACACGTCACTCGTTGTTTAACAGAATGTAGAGAAGAATTTCGATACAATTTTGAGGCTGTCGATTATCTTATAAGGTATATCGTTATTTATTAAACATTTCCAAATACGGTGTTTACTGAAACATTCAAATACAAACAAATTATTTATTTTCAGATCTCATTTAATTAGTCTTCCACAATATGACTTAGCTTTGGCTCAAGCTATAGATTCTGGAAATGCTATGGCAACAGCATTTGCTATGCAGTTGGTGCAGCTTTATTTAATTGACGAAAGACAAACTACACACGTCACTGAATCGGATTTGTTCCACACTATTGAGATATTAGCTAGAATGGCGCATCATAGAGCACCGCCCGAAGGGTTATTATTAATTTCAATGTAGTATTACTAATCAACGTAGGAATTAGTTCACAAATACATAAAATAGGTTTTATATATTTTCAGGATTTTATTGTTCAGATTAACAAGTTTGATAGATTCGTTGCGCGCCAATCATGATCCAGGTGTATTAGCGGACAGAGCACCCGCTGGACCGACGGCGCATATCCACTCTGGAATTCTGCAGGTGAGAGTAAGTAAATTCTGCGACTCTTGAGACTTCAAGAACAAACGTGTATATTTACAATACATGTTATTTGGCTTTTTTTCTTCGCAGGCGCGTGATTTCGATGATCCACCCGGATTGATGGAAAAAACGGAGTATTTATTACGCGAATGGGTTACAATGCATCATAACCCGACACACGCGCGTGATCCTACAAAAGCTTTCGGAATGTTTGTCCATCAAATGAACATTCATGGAATTCTAAAAACCGATGATCTCATAACAAGATTCTTTAAATTGAGCACTCAAATGTGTGTTGATCTATGTTATCGTGCTTTGGCCGAAACAAATGTAGCTCCATCGGTTGTTCGTGCAAAGTGTTTCCATTCATTGGATGCTTTTGTCCGTTTGGTCGCGCTTTTAGTGAAACATTCTGGGGACAGTACAAATACTCATACAAAGATTAATTTGCTAAACAAGGTTCTGGGAATTGTAGCCGGTGTACTACTGCAGGATCATGAGATACGTGGAACAGATTTCCAGCAACTACCTTATCACAGAATCTTCATTATGCTCTTTTTGGAGCTCTGTGCTCCCGAGCCTGTATTAGAAGCAGTGAATTATCAAGTATTGACTGCTTTCTGTCATACATTGCATATACTTAGACCAGCCAAAGCTTCCGGGTTTTGTTACGCTTGGTTAGAACTAGTTTCACATAGAGTTTTCATTGGACGTATGCTCGCGATTACGCCGCAACAGAAATGTTGGGGAATGTACGCGCAGCTTTTAATTGACCTGTTCAAATACCTTGCCCCTTATCTTCGAAATGCCGAACTTGCAAAGCCTGTTACTTTATTGTATAAAGGAACACTTAGAGTATTACTGGTATTATTACACGATTTTCCGGAATTCCTTTGTGATTATCATTATGGATTTTGCGATGTAATTCCACCCAATTGTATACAGATGAGGAATCTTATTTTAAGTGCGTTTCCAAGAAATATGCGCTTGCCAGATCCATTTACACCAAACCTGAAAGTTGATATGTTACAAGAAATAGCACACGCTCCGCGAGTGTTGACCAATTTTGCGTCGATGATACAACCTCTCAGTTTCAAAAAGGAACTTGATTCGTATCTAAAAGCACGTGCTCCAGTCACTTTTCTTTCCGAACTTCGCAGTAATTTACAAGTATCACAAGAAGCTGGCGTACGCTATAATATTCAATTAATGAATGCTCTAGTACTTTATGTTGGAACACAAGCTATAGCTTTTATTCGTAGCAAAGGACACACACCGAATATGTCTACTATCGCACATTCTGCACATATGGATATATTCCAGAATTTAGCAGTCGATCTTGATACAGAAGGGCGTTATTTATTCTTAAATGCAATTGCGAATCAACTTCGATATCCCAATAGTCATACACATTATTTCAGTTGCACACTTTTGTACTTGTTTGCTGAAGCTAATACCGAAGCGATACAAGAACAAATCACGAGAGTTCTTCTTGAAAGACTTATCGTGAACAGACCTCATCCATGGGGTCTTCTTATTACCTTCATTGAACTGATTAAAAATCCAACCTACAAATTCTGGACGCACGAGTTTGTTCACTGTGCACCAGAAATTGAAAAGTAAGTCGTCATAATGTTAAGAAAATTTCATGGTATCGTCTTCTAACATATGTTTCATCTTTCAATTTACACTGTTTCAGATTATTCGAGTCAGTAGCTCGATCGTGTATGGTTCAAAAACAAGTGCAGCCCACTCCGGAACCAGAAATCCCAGAGTGATAGGACGCTTTATTTTTCATTGTCGATTTATGTACAGTAAAACGAAGGAACGTAATTAATAAGAATCGCGTGTAAAAAGTTGTTAATGTACGAATAGATGTACTATACTTTGGGCTTAACTTTTGGTGGATAGATACTAAATAATCGTATATTAAGTGTATCAATTGATCTAGAATAAGTAAGACTACTATTATGTTAATATTTTAATAAAAATATTGTTGCATCGATCAAAAAGCAACGAACATTCAACCTCACAAAACGTGTCTTTCGAACAATGTACTTGAAATCGTATGTTACCATGACATTGTAATATTATAGCACAAATGTCAGTATAATGCGTATCATAATGAAGGAGAGTAAGTCAAGATAAGGGTGTTCAAGAAGTAATAGTGAGTTTTGTAGATTAAACTGAGTATAAATGTATTATGAGTAAGTGATATATGGAGTCAGTACCAAAATTAATATGTTGTGCTACATAAGTCATTTAGGGAGTACATGCAGAATGTATGGTGCATTTGGAAAAACTGTAATATAGTACATAATTACTAGTATACATTGATGTAATTTTTTAAGAATTGTAGCTACGAAAGAAGATAAAGCTGATTAATTAAAACGTGGTTTACGTGATCCTTTGTTTTAAGTGTTAAGTAGTAATTTATAACTCTCACTTATTAAATAATTTATTAAATTTTTTTTTATATACATTATTTGTACATAATTCAAAATTTATATTGTCAGAGTCGCACAAGGTAATGATCACGCGTTGCATGATAGGAGTCCCTTTCTTTATCAGGGAATTTGGTTGGTAAATTAGGGCTATGTAAGTGACATTTTGCAGGATACTTTATACCTGCTACATCTACTTCATAATCTCCCGATAATACGTATTCGTTTGTCACTTCTTGTCGTTGCCCTTGCGAATCGAAGTTTTGTATAAATCCAAGGCAAACCTACATTACGATCATATTACTTATTTTTTACATAAGACAATACATATTTTGCAATTTTGATGTAGTGTTTGAATTTTTTAAAAAATTTTCAATAATAATTATTATGGTAAATTAATATCACGGATCTATAAGTATACACGTTTAATAGATAATTATGAATATTATGTTAATACCTGTTTCTTAAACGTGAATCCGTAACCAGTGGTAGTTGTCATTCCACAATATTCTCCGTTTCTAAAGATGGGTTCATTACCCCAACACCATGTGTCCAATTCAAGATCATGATCGTTTAATAATAACTGTACATACTTCCTTTTTACACCTTCTTCGCGTTGTTTCAAGAGCGCTTCTTTTCCAATAAAATTCATTTCTTTCTATTAAACGTATAATTTATTAATATTTATCAATACTAATTTATTAATATTCTTTGTAAATTTCAGAAACACCCACATCAAGTTTTACTCTCCAGGATCTTCCACACTCTAAAGGTGTAGTAAAAGTATCTAAATCTTGGCCCCAGAAAGCGTAAAACTTTTCTACTCGCAACGCTCGTGTTGCATAATAACCAGCATGTTTTATTCCGTACTTAGCACCAGCATCTATCAATCTTGTATAAACATGTAATGCAAACTGTGAATACATAATATAAAAATTATAAATAATTGCAGCAGAATAGCCAAGAATAAAATATTTTGTGTTTAAGCACAGAATACTTACTTCGTTCGGAATATATAAAACATACCCAAGTTCTCCAGTATGAGTTAGATTCATTGTGCGTATTCCATTTGCAAGTCCGACGTCTAATTCCTTTCGTATGAATGATTATACATATAACAGGTATAAGATATAAAATTATATACAATATAATACTAATAATAAATACCTTAAACGTAAAAAATGGGAAGTTTTTAGGATTAAGATCTGTGTCTGTTAATTCTGACAATAGTTGCCTTGTTGCAGGGCCCATTATGCAGATTGCTGTATATGCAGATGTCACATCAGATACTGCAACTGAGCCATCAGCAGGCAAATGACGATTGATCCAATGTTTACAGCGAGTTTGTTGTATAGTCGGAGCGATCATCATGTAACTTAAACATTAAAAAAATAATTATATCTCATATTCAATAATTTAAGTACTTTATTTTGGTAACTTACTGATTAGGTGCTATGCGGGCTAAACTGCAGTCATTTTCATAGCCTCCACGATGATTTTGCATACCTGTGTGGATAATACTTCCCACCGGAACATCTACATCGTTTGAACACAAGTATTGTAACAGGTCTACTACTTCCAAATCATTTGACTAAAAAATTTCATAAATCACATGATTAATTATTGTGATAATAATTCTAAATAATGTCTATAATGATGTACCTTACCCACAAATCAATTTTAGTGAAAGAAGAATAATCGCTAAGCCCAATTCTTTCACGGCACACAGCATATTCTTTCGAGACTGATTCAAACCATGGCGGTTTGCTAAATGAATTTGTATATGCTATCTTATATCTTTGGAATCCATCAATCGTTTCCAAATCTGTGTAGCAAAGCAATCTGTATAATAAAATCCAGTTTTTTTTTTTATAATAGGAATAAATTACCAAGCAACATTTTATACAGCACTTAATAATTCCGAAATATTTGATTTTTGAATTATAAAATATTCACTTTTAAATTCAATATATTTCATAAAAGTGATATACCTACCGATTTCCTCATTTAAATCAAACCAGGTTGGTCGCTCATATCCCATTACCTGGCCAAAAATAGCACCTGCTTCTCGAAGTTTTGGATAAATTGGAGACATTCTCAAATTTCTACCTGTTTTAAATTCGTGATGTGGATATTGCAATCCATAATGCATCCCGGGAACTTCTTTTACTCGATCGCGTAAAAACTTGCGATTGTTGTGAAGGCCTAAGAAACGCGATACATCTAATTCGTACATATCTACAGACGTCGAACCATTGACTATTAATTCTGCAGTGGCTCGACCAACGCCACCAGCTGCCGATATACCCACCTATGAAAATTATGCTTATATATTTAAATTATATCTATTCTATTATCAAACGATCATTAATTTGACGCTATTTACCGTTTTCATACCAGCGGCAATGTAATAATTACGTATTTCTGGCGCTTCACCGACTATCCATTTACAGTCCGGAGAAAATGCTTCAGGGCCATTGCATAATCTTTCCAAAATTGCATTTCCTAAATCCGGAATTCTATGTAACATTTGTTCAAGTAAAATGTGAAAGTGGTCCCAATCTTCCGGTAAAAATCTTTCATCCGTACACTCTGAAATGCAATTTATGTTAGATTCACGTTAATGTTAAATCAATCGTGTATAAAAATTTATATCCAACCAGGTATTATTCCATCTTCGAATGCTGGTTTTGCAATAGGCTCAAAACCTCCAGCCAAAAGCCTACCATTATTTTCTCGAAAATAAATATACCCATCTAAATCTCTTACAACAGGAGTCATGGGATCTAATCCAGCAATAGCTTTTGTGTGTAAATAATAGTGTTCTACAGGATGAAGGGGCACCTAAAAAAGATTCGTTATTAAAAAAAAATTTTCATTCTTTCTTATATATTTAAAAATAATTACTATTATTGCAGGATACCAACCTTTACATACGGCTCGCTTAATTTACCTACATTACGTGCCCAAAATCCAGCGCAATTAACAAAATGTTCACATTGAACAGTGCCGCGCGTTGTTTCTACAGCCTCAATTCTACCATTTTGAGTAAGAACTTTTGTAACTTTGCAGTTTTCAAATACTTTAACACCTAAAAGTATTAAAAACTATGTATATTTATGGTCATTCATCTTCATAATAAATTGTACCTTTTTTTTTTGCCTCTCCTATTAATGTTAAGCAAATCTGATATGGATCTCCTACACCATCATCTGGTATCCATAATCCACCGACTAAATCATCCACTCGTAATAATGGACATATTTCCTGTACTTCTTTTGGTGTAACCAAATGACATTCAATATTACATGATCTGAAGATTAATACGGTATAATTTTACATGGTCTTTTTGATACCTGCACTTACTTAAGACTCATATATTTACAAATGATACCTACATAGACTGTGCTTTCATTCGTCTAAATACTGTCATACGATCTCTCGTGCGTGCTATGGATAGACTTCCACACTGTTTCCAGCCTGTTGATAAACCTTTTTGTTCCAGTTCTCTATACAATGCTATACTATCCTGTGCAAGTTTGACTTGTGAAAAACTTGGTTTAAACGCTCCAACTAATCCTGAAGAATGCCATGTTGTACCACCTCCTATTCTAAATTGAAATAAAGTAAATGGATGAATAAATTATACAAAATTCATGATATTTTTTATATAATTACGAAAAAATTAAATCTTTAAGGAATACACTTTGAAGAATATTTACCTGCCGCTTTCTATAATAATTGTTCGAGGACCTAGTCCCATAAGCGAAAGATGATAAGCAACAGCACCACCCATAGCTCCACCTCCACAAATAATGACTTTTGCATCTTTAGGAAGTGGATCATCAACATCTTCGTTTGATACTAAAGTAGATTTTGTACTGCTGTGTTTTACCCGTTGACGATTATAAAAAACAAAGTTGCTCCATTTTGTTACATATTTAGTACAAAACGACTTCGGATTATGCCACATTATAATAAATATAAATCTAAAAATTGTGATTATTTATATATAAAATTGACACGTATATTAATATGTTCATAATTCTTACGTGTTTATAAATAATTACATTTCTATTAAGGTTAGATTATCACAAAATACAAAGTATATATTCACTGTAAACCTTATTTCATATTTATTGTGAAATATAATTGACTTCGTTAAATTGAAAATTAATACTCGAAATGTAAGCTTATGACTTGAGAGACATTATATATTCTCATCATAATTTTTTTCGTAATAAAATAATGCTGAATGTAAGTAACCATTCGAAGTTCAAATTATTCCAAAATTTAATTAAATATAATTATTATCTACAATAACAATCGTCTTTTAAAAATACTAAAAAACTGAACGCTTATTCTGCATGAGTGCAGACAATAAAGGTTACGTAGAACATCAGTCTATTTAGTGATTAATACTGCAAGTTTATCAATTTGAAACATATTATAAAGTATTTTCGTAGAAAAATATATTGTAAATTAAAATATTATGATAAAAATAATTTAAAACCAGAATTTTAATAAAAAATTCGTATCTTGTAATTTTTGTTAAAAAAAATATTTCCAAGGTATAAAAAGATAAGAATGCCTAAATCGTCTATCAAAAATAAGTGAAATAAATAAAATATTTCAAAATTAAATATTATATATTACTAATTAGTGATATTAACAAAATTCTATTTATAGTTTTACAAATAAAAATAACAAATAGTAGTATACCAAGTAGTCATTAACATCAATAATTAAATTTTATTTATAAAGTGTGATGTAAAAAATATCGGAATTTTATTTACGTTTATTCAAATTGTTATAATTATCAGATAATAATAATACACATTGTTTTTGATACATTGTTAGTATTTATTAAATAAAATTCCATAAAAACAGATACAAACTGGGTAAATTTATTATTCTTAATCATTTTAAAAAATAGACTTTCAATAGTATTTATCAAAAGTAATTGCTGTTAGTTATTACTGCAAGTTAGAAAGAGGGAAATATTGTATCAATTTTTATGTGTACATAAAAAATGCGATGTATCGCCGAAAATATTTTTGTAATTATCTCATATAATTATACTTCATATACTTCATATCCTCCGAAATCTAGTACTGATAAGTAGGAGATAATTTCTCATGAAAGAAGAAATTGCAATGTAGAATGAGGTTTACAGAACAAATTCTACTCTACATTCTGCTCACACTTTTTCATAGTCCACCCCCTACCACGTTTTGTTAGACACTGTATATGTGCAAACGAAGTTATTAACAAAATTTTCATTTGTACATACATTCGGCTTAAACATTGCAAATACTTCTTAATACATAAGAAGTGAAAATTTCATATATTGTGCATGTTTGCAAATGTTCATAGTACGTGCGTGTTACAATATAATGCAATGTCAAAATTGATGCAGAGTGAAATGCAATAAATATCAATTCTAGTATCATGTTGTTTTATCTCCTGTAACGGCCCAAATAAGCTTTGCAGTTAGGACAATTGTGATGAACATCCATACATTCATCGATACAACAAGGAATTAAACAGCATCCCAGCCAACATCTGTGAAAATACATAAATATAAAACCATTGAACCTTTTAGATCGTCGATTTGAAAAAAACATCTTTATATTCACCCCATTAATGTAATTACAACACCAGATATATAAGCAATCATGCCAGGCTCTGTTTTTGTTGTAGTATCAATTTCTGCATGACAGTGTGGACAGATTGTATGTGTTGATCCTGGTCCAAGTGGAACAATTGTTGTAACAATAACTGGACCATTTGTATCTACAAAGTGATAAATACTCTTTAAGAATCGATTGGCTTAACATATTTAACTAAATTAAATTTCATAATAGAAAACATATATTTGTTATAAACATACAGGTTTCTGCAGGTGTAAAAGGGCTAGCAGGTGGAACACCACCCATTGTATTTGAATAACCAGGTGGTGCATATGGAGGTGGTTCATAAGGTGGTGGTGGCCCAGATTTATTCATAATGGTCCTGTACTATTTATATATAGAGTATCTACAATTAAACATGATTATGTAACTACATAACAATGAATAATAGCAGCAATGTTATTATTTCATATTTATTAGTACTGAAAATTATAAGTTTTAATATAGATTATATTATAAAAGGATATAAAGAAAATAATTTTCTAAAGTTTTGTAATTAGTCTTTTAATTGTAAATTTGTGTACACTACCTAAAAATATGAAAACATTGTAAAATAATGAAATGCACAAGTAAAATGAAAATAATTTCTCTTGTGAAATTATTAAAACTGAATTGAACCATCAAAATTCAATTTTAAATGTAACTTACAGTACGAATTAACGCATACAATGATTTATCAAAAGTAATAATAATGATTGCCTCATGAATGTACGTGAACTGATTGCGAAATTTAATGTCACAATTGACATCTTTGCCTATTTGAATAAAAGTGTAATAACATTTGACGGCTCTTTATTAATGTTTATACCAACGTATATTATAACAAGTTCCGCCTACCTTAACGAAATAATACTAAATTGGTCACTGGGTAATTATTTAGGCGATGTGTGAGTAATATCTAAATATGTATTCCATGTCTATAGTTTCAATAGTTTGAAGTGTAAACATGAGAAAGATAGCAAATTATTCTTATGCGCGTATATAGATGGCGTAGCATAAGTTTCATATATGGCGGCCCTACACGGCCTAGTACGCCTCTACATTCAGCAATCAAAGCTATAATAGTGTAGCAGAACTGTTCCACATTTACAGCAACCACAAGGAGTGATCCATTGGGACAAAAACGAGGGATGTACAAAAGAAAAGAAGACAGTTTTTGTTTAGAGTTTGATTTAAAAAATAGAATCGAGCAACTTGAATATAATTTCGCCCAAACTTTTATATCCTACATACATCGTTAAACCAATGAAAATAAAATGACCATTTATATACCAAAAAAACAACACATTCCTCAGCACGACTATGCCATCTTTGTCATTAGTGGTAACCTCTGGTCATACACCACAGAGTACACATTTACACAACAAAATTTTCACCAACGTAACAAATGTATGCAACCCATTACAAACGACCCTGAGATGCACATGAGGAAATAATGCTCATTCACAGGAATAATAAAAATGCCTGGGCATTTAGATGTTTAAGCTACTAGCGCTGCTTTTATTCAACATTTCGACAATAAAAAGAAGTTGCAATTCCGTACAATGGTGGAATGGGGGGATAATGTATATGTAGTATGTGTGCGTAAATGTCATGCAAGTGCTATGTGTACGATATATAGAACGCACAAAGATATTAATTAAACGTCAACACGTACGAATTAAATAATCCAAAATGGGAAAAGGATTTAATAATTACATGTGTAAAAAGTTTTTTCACCCAGCATCTCGGGACAACTTGAAACGAGTTCGTTCTTTCTTTTGTTGTGAAAAGTAATGTAGGTTATCCATACACGTCTCATGATTAAATTAACGATTGCTTTTTTATTAGGTATGGATGGCCGAACAGCAAGCTGAAGCTTATAAGAAAAAGCAAGAGGAATTACGGGTTCAGTATGAAAAGGAGCAAGATCTTCATAATAACAAGTGAGTCAAATGATTTTTTTTCCTGATGAAATTCAAGAACAATTTCTTCTAAATTTTATCCTATTTGTTACAGAGCTTTGCTCAGCAAAGAAAGCAAGGATAAGCTTAGTGTAAATTTCATGTATGAGCCCCCTCCTGGTGCAAAGAAAGAACGAGAAAAAGAAGATAACGAACCGGAGTATAAGTTTGAATGGCAACGCAAATACAATGCACCCAGAGAAAGTTACTGCAAAGGTGACAGTGAAATTAGAGATCAGCCATTTGGTATTCAAGTACGCAATGTACGTTGTATCAAATGTCACAAGTGGGGCCATATAAATACAGGTTTGTATATTAATTATAATAATATATGATCAGATTAAAGTATAAAACCATAAATTTGCATTTGTCAATAAATGTTGCTTTTAGATAAGGAGTGTCCTCTGTACAGTCAAGCAATGAGTGTGGTAATGGCAAATAATTCACAAACTCCAACTGCTCCAGATGCTTTAACTCTGGTTCAACAAATGAGGGAAGATGGTTTAGCTCTTAAAAAGTGAGTTCAAATTATATTGTTATTCCCTAGAAAAATTTTCACCTATTTTTCTTATTAACAAGTCCGTATTTTTTAAATAACTTTGTTTTATTCGCAGATCGGCGCTCAACGCTCAACAACATTTACGGGTTCCTGAACACGAACATCTTATGGTCTCTGATGATGAAGAACAATCGGAAATAACATTTTTAAAAACTCTCTCTAAAAAAGAGAAAAAAAAATTATTAAAGTAAATAATTTGCTTTATATATATTTTCAATTACAATTACTCATAGAGGATAAATTAAATTTCTTTTGAACATATCGATTACAGGAAATTGCAGCAACTTGAAAAAAAGACCAAAAAAACGAAGAAAAGAAAATTGAAACACAGAAAAATGAAACGCAAAGAGAGCAGCAGCGATACAGATAGCGATACAGACAGCAGTAGTAGCAGCAGTGTTAGTAATAGCAGTAACAGCAGCAGCAGTAGTAGTAGCAACAGCAGTATCACCAACAGTAATAGTAGTAATAGTACGAACTGTATTAATAATAAAAATCATGGTCATGCATCAAAAGAGTCTAAAAGGAAACGGCAAAAGAAGGAAAAAAGTTCAAAGATTTCAAACAGTGAAATTACGAACCATCATAAAAAAAAAGAAAAACGTCACAAATCAAGTAGTCGCAAAGAGGGACGTAAATATGAATATAAAAAAGAAGATAAATATAAAAAAAGTTTTCCGAAGGATACGAAAAAAAGTAAACATAGAGATTCAGTCAATTACAGAAAAAGAAAGGTCATAGAATTTGACGAGGACAGAAATAGTGAGAGGTGCGATAGAAAGAGAACAAAACGATCTTAAGATTAATTATGTTTTTTACACATTTCAGGTATACAATAAATTTAGATTATACGCAACATGTACGTGTGTATGTTCGAGCGCGTGCATGTGTGCTTACGCGTGTTTCTTATTCGTACAGAATCACAGAACACTAAGTAAAATAAGATGTACGAGGCGTGTGTAGCTTTTATATGTGTATAATGGAAAGTACAATGTAATACGAATAGCAGTTTTATTCTTATTACTCTGTATAATGTATCTCAAATAAACAACAGAAATTACTGCAAAACGTTAAAAAACTGTGCATTTTTTTAATAATATTCATGTCTGATAGGTATTTTATATAAGGAGTCGTTTGAAGAACATTTTCTTAAACAAATATTATTTCAACTGTAAATGGCTAAAATAGATAAGTTCTTAAACGGCTCAACATTTTAACAATATTTCATTATGCGTGTCTAAAATTATCATTATTAAATTTTTGTTTTGATGGGTTACATTAAAAAACAGTAACTCCTTAATAAATACTTAAATAGGACTACTATTGTAATATCACATACATGAAAGTTATGCAGTTTTGTAAGATTGCCAACAAGAATCTTAAAATAACTTAAAATAACAGATTAATGTTGGTAAAATTTGAATCGAGTTAAGCGTTAAGCTTTTCTGTATTTTCTTTTACTTGTAAATACCAAGAAGCAAAATATGTTCACTAAGATCCGGCAACTGAAAAAATCAATTTGGGAGATCTCTCACCAGTTGCAACGTCGACGAGAACTCCTCCACCTACTGCTTTGGCTAACAATGAGAGTGCTCAGAGTTTGGCAGCATTAAATGTAAGTAGCGACGATATAGCCGAGAGTAAGAGCTGTCCCTGATACCTAAATCCCTAAAGTTGACTATTTCGCTTGCTGGACCTTAGATTAGTGCTGTTTGCGTTATTTTAAATATGTATGTATCGCGAATCAGTACAGACATATACGTATATATTTGAAAACGTGGCACTCACTTCTACACATTATAATTTTATTATAGAAAAATGTAATAGAAGTGAAACATTCACTGCATTTCCTGTCTAAAGAAGCAAGAGGGCAATTTCCTATCTCTGAAATGTATACATATAGATGTGTATTATGACGTACGTACGTATGTATCTTACAAAGTATTAATTTCTCACTCTCAACAGTTTACTTTTATAATACAATGAGCTATTAACAAGACTTTTACATACTTATTTTCTAACACACGTGTGTACACGTTTTTTTTCTATGTAAAAGTTAATACTATCCAGCTGGTAGCTGTGAACACTTGGGCAGTTTGAATCTGTTGTGTAATTGTCACTTTCACAATGATTACATCTAGAGTAGAATCGGATTGGTTGGTGATTAGGGAATGATAATCCATTAAGTATATCAAGGCGATACGAATGCAGTTTGACAGTGTCGCCTCTTTTCTAAAAACAAAACTATTCCGAAAATTATATACAAGATATTACTGCTCATTAAATCACAATTAAGTATGAGCAAAAATATGTCTGTTTATATTACCCTTCCGATTCTGCTATAATATATATCAATGCAGTTTTTTCTTTTTTTTTCTTTTACACTGCTATTCTTTTATGTATCCTATATTATTTTGAAGGAATCAACATGTTATACAAGTGGCAGAACAATAGTTTCGAGTTTGGTTATGTCCGATACTTGAATAATTATCATAATTTTTGTGTAAACTCGATGTCTCTTTTTACCATACAAGACATTCGAACGATTTTAGAACGTACGTAAATATCCATTTTCGAAATCATTTAGTTTACTTAAAAAACGATCAAGGAATTGCACAATCTATAAATTCTTATAGGAAAAACAAAACAAAAATACAGTACATTCTTTCTTCTCTTTTGGAACAAATCTTTAGGTACACTCAAATCAATTTTCGTTGATCTAATTTTGTACACTAACGATAAACTCGTATTTGTTGACGAGTCTGATATTTTAAAAAATTTCATAACTCGGTGCAACGATGGGATAGCGTGTCATCAAAAATATCTTTTTTAGACCTTTCAACAGTACAGCGTCTTTCTTCAAAAGAATGCACTTGTTATCAAAAACCTACGTATATTTACATAACGAAAACATATGTAACTTTCCTTCTTCACATCGTAAACGATCATTAGTCACGCTAGGGCAGTCACAGGCCTGCGTAAAACTTTTACGCCGGTAGCACCACTGCTCTACAAGCGTAACTCTCCTTAGCGTTTAAAATTAATTGTTGCTATGTATATATATATATATAAGCAAATCGCGTTAAATTTGCTAAACGTGACTGTTGTACTACAGAAATATAAGTAAACCGAGAAAATGATGCTGCGAACATTTCTCCAAGTTTAAAGTCGGAGGACAACGTTTTCTCGCATACTTCTGTCACGATTCGATAGTTGACTTACATCTGTCATCTCGGTATCTTCCATATTATTTGAATCTACTACATGATGCCTAGAAATTAAAAAGAAAACAGTTGTTATAACGGATAATTGATTCAATATCCGCTACATTTATATCTTCTATTACAATAAGTAGGATATTGGACTTGAGAGTACCTGTGGTGATTAAAATGAGGTGTACGAAGATGGGCGTCAGGTGATCTTGGCGACAAGCTGTGAAGACTTCCGCTAAACCCTGTACATAAAAGACCTTTTCGAGGACTTCTAGCATTTACAACTCTTGGTTGCGAATACATTTCCTCTAGAACGCTTGGCGCCACATATGTAAAACCCTGTAAACATTTAATTTTATTTTGTTCTGTTATTTCAAGTAGATAATTTATTTAAACATTAAACATTAGAAGCACCATGTCACCTACTTGAAATATCATATTAGCAGATTCGCTTAAAGTACTTTCAACCGGAGAATCGACTGGTATAGTTGCCGTAAATTGTTCGTCAAATTGCGATGTGTCATCGGCACTTTTCTATAAATTTCAAAATGTCTTTAACATCATAATGTTATGTATTAACCAAAACTACTTACTAACGATGGTTTGAAGGGTGGTTCTAGTTTTCGTGAAATTACATCCTGCCAATTAATATGCTTAAAAAAGTTGTGATTCATAATTTGTTCAGCATCTTCGAAACCGGATCCCAATCTTTGCGACACTTGTCTCTGTAAGCGATATGCAAAACGAATTTATTATATAAACAACTTATTTGAACGATATTATATTGTACAAAAGATTTGATTGTGCAAAAAATTTCACGCTCAATACCTTTAATAATTTTCGTATTAAGTCTCTTGCATCTGGTGTTAGATATTGCGGGAGACTTAGTTTTCCCCGTAAAATTTTTTCAATTGTTTTCCTTCTATCATCTCCTGTAAATGGTGGCTGTAAACGAGAAATACGCAGAATTATTCTACCTACTTCGATCTTCTAAAGAAAGTTTAATATCTCGCTGTTTATTCAATTCGCGTACCATTCCAGTAAGCATGTCAAACATTAGCGCACCCAAACTCCACCAGTCAACAGCCTTACCATGTCCGCTTCTCGTTAAAATTTCCGGCGCCCTAAGCACGTTAGTGATAATAAGAATCAGAATATACATTATTTGAGGCAAATTATTTTTATGTGTAGTTTATTCTTGGCTTCAAGACTCAGCTGATTAATCAAATGATTAACGAAGTTGATCTATTATTTCAAAAACAACCATTTATGACTTCATCGAATAAAAGCACTACTCACATGTATTCTATAGTTCCACAAAATGTATGTGTCACTGTACCTTCTTGTATATGTTCTTTGCATAAACCAAAGTCTGTTAATTTAACATGACCTTCACTGTCTAATAAAATATTTTCTGGTTTCAAATCTCTGTAGCAACAGTTGATATCATTAGATATACACAAGTACATATTTTAAGTATCATTATCAAGTTTAAAAATTGTACCTGTATATAATACCCTGATTGTGAAGATGTTGCAACGCAAGTATGATTTCAGATAAATAAAAACTACGAGTAGAAATAGGAGAAACATTAATCTATTTTTTCAATTGGTCAACTATGTGTAAAATTTACATGTCAATCGTAGCAAACTAAACATTGCATAATGATCAGTTAACTTACCAAGCAGTATCTTCTAAGAAAATGCCTTCTCTATCTAAGTATGTGAAAAGTTCTCCGCCGCAAAGGTATTCCAAAATTAAATATAATTTGCCTCCAGTTTGAAAAGCATACATTAGATTTACAATGAATGGATGCTGTAATGAACAAAAAACTGAATAGCTATAATATTATCACATTTAATAAATTGTACTTACTTTTACAGCCTCTAAAATATTCCTTTCTGCCTTTGTGTGAGCTGTATCTTTCTGATTTCGTATAATAGAGGCTTTTCGTAATACCTACAAAAAAAAAAGGAATTGTAGAGCTTTTTCTATGTTTACACGCACACGCGCGTCACGCACGCGCGCGCGTGTATATATATTTACCTTCATAGCAAAAATACTGCCTTTGTCTTTCCCGGTAACTTTTTTCACTTGAAAAACTTTTCCATATCCACCCTCCCCAAGAATCTTGCACAATTCAAAGTCTTGGGGTCCAGTCTTTTCCTGTCCTGGGTTGACATTTTGTTCTGATAATTGAACTCGTTCTAAATTATCAGATCTGCAATAAATGTCAATATTCCGTTGTGACTTTTTTTTTTTTCTAGCGTCGGAAGGGTAGGGAGATACTTAAAATACTGTATGGTTTGGTTGTAAGGTCAATGTCGTTGACCTTCAAAAGATATATTACTTACTCTAATATAGTGTCTGCGTTTGTGGCGTGATTGTATTCATCCTAAAAAGAAAGGGAAACTAATGAGAGATCCAGTATCGCAGAAGAATTTATCAAATGCTCAGCAAAAAACGAACTTCTTTGCTTTCAAGAATATCATTGTCCGACTCGTCTTGATTTACGGAATCTCCTTCATGCAATTCTATGTCAAATACTCCTGCCATTCTCTTTTCGATGAAATCACATTTATGAGTTTCTCTCGTTAGTGGTTTTAATTGATCGTAACGCGTTCAAATAATGTAGGTACCTAAACGTATGTGCGTAAACGCGATGGAATGTTACTTCTATTCATTCGCGTGTCTCGCACTTATTTTGTCACGAACAGATTAAATTATTTACGACCGTCAGTCGCAAATTATAAAAAAAATCATTCGTGATATCGTGAAGAATGCTTATTCTCTTTTAGGAAATAATCAGACTGAAACGTAAGAACTTTATAAAAAAACACACGATTTACGTAGCCTATAACACAGGGCCTCGAACAGTACGAATAGGAACTCCGATCTAGCATGAAATATATTAAAGATGCACAGAAACTTTTACAAGGTTTCGACTCATCTGAAGTTAGACGCGAAGACTCGACGTTTTGCTTTGATTGCAAAACCCCAAATATATACTATATGAATTAATTATATATTCTCACTGTAATGCAAATATGTATACTATACATAAATATTCTCATATATTGTATAAAGTTCAATTTTCAAAACTTCAAGCCTTTCTCTGAATATTATTAAATCTATTTACACCAGTTTGTGTATTTGTTTTATCTTCAAGCTTATATGCCAGTATAAACAATAATTCTACAAAGAACAATATTATAAGAATTATTCCAAATACAATTAATTCAAATAATTAAATTTATCTGCACACCAGGGTGCATCACCGGTTGCCTATACCAAAATGGCTGAATGTGTTTGGAGCCATTATAGGTGATTTTTCCTTCCATTTTGTGATTCAGCTCTCTTAAACTAGACGCCATCGTTTAGGTCCGTGGTGTTACTTAATGTTGCTCAGTATGATTATTTAGTTCAATCATGTTCAACGAAAGCATCGTCTTGATTCGTTTATCTTCAAGTATGTTAAGTTACAAAGCGTTGATGCGTTAATCTAATGGTTATGTTTAATTCCACATAAAACTGAGGTAAGATTATCATTTATCAATATTTCTTCCGAAGTATCGAACTCTGATGAGACTGAACATTTTTTGCGCACCAGAATAAAATGGTGTAAGCTATTCGTGATTCTAGTTCAACACGATGCGCCGAAATTTCAAATACTTTCGTTTATTGTTTCGGTTAAGATAAACTTTGAGTTATTTTTATAAATGAATATCGATATTCTTTTTTTTTTAATACTTAATTATATTATTCTAATATTATTTTTTAATTTAAAAAATTTTCATTTCTCTCATTAATTATGTGAATTAATTATATAAAAATTTATGTTTCATATTATATGAAAATATATAAAGTTCCATAAACATTATTAAAGTACATTTTTTAGAATTTTCACTCCAACATGTCGATTCCACCGTACTTGTTGGGTCCAAATCCATGGGCCACCATGATGGCCCAACAACAGGCCCATGCCCAACTAGCAGCGGCTCAAGCTCATGCTCAGGCAGCTGCCCATGCACAAGCTGCACACCATGCTCATATGCAAGCTATAGCAGGGCCACCATTACCACAAATGCCTAAACAACCTGAAGTTTTATCCGAGGATAAACTTCAAGAGAAAGGTATGCATGATAAAACATGTAATTGCATATAAGAACAGAATTAATTTTATCCTTTCTGTGTTCTCTTCATGTGAATATTATTGCAGCTCAAAAATGGCAACAACTTCAATCAAAAAGATTTGCAGAGAAAAGAAAATTTGGCTTTGTAGATGCTCAGAAAGAGGACATGCCACCGGAACATATTAGAAAAATTATCAGAGACCATGGTGATATGAGCAGTCGCAAGTATAGACACGATAAACGTGTTTATTTAGGGTAATAAAATGTGCACATTTTAAATATTTTATATCATTAATCTGAAGGGAAATAGAAAGTAAGAAAATTTCTAACATTTTTAATTTTTCTATAGAGCACTGAAATATATGCCCCATGCAGTAATGAAACTTCTGGAAAATATGCCAATGCCTTGGGAACAGATTCGAGATGTAAAGGTTTTATACCACATCACGGGTGCAATTACATTTGTAAATGAAATTCCATGGGTTATAGAACCTGTATATATTGCTCAATGGGGGTGAGAGATGTTTTTATTTTTTTATCATTTACTTTTATAGAGTATTTAGTAAGTAACAAGTACAAGTGTACATATTTTCCCTTTTCATGGTATATAGTACAATGTGGATTATGATGAGAAGAGAGAAAAGAGATCGCAGACACTTTAAAAGAATGAGATTTCCACCGTTTGATGACGAGGAACCACCGTTAGATTACGCGGATAACGTTTTAGATGTAGAACCTTTGGAAGCCATTCAGATAGAACTTGATTCTGAGGAAGATGAATCTGTAGCATCTTGGTTTTACGAACACAAACCACTAGTCGGTACTAAGTGAGTATTAAAACTTTTTTTGACGACTATGATCATTTCTTTTTTTTAATGTATTTAATGATGAATCGCGTAGGGGTCCTGAAATCAACTGACGTGTGAGTTGATGGTTGGTAGTAACTACACAGTCTTGTCCGAGATGAGCACTGTGGGTTGCTATTAACTGGACAAAACGCTATACTGAATTATCTCCTTAGATATTAGAATATATATATTTTTAATATAGACTTCCTTTAATAGTTTATAATATTGCAGGCACGTGAATGGATCCACCTATAGAAGGTGGAATTTGACTCTACCACAAATGGCGACTTTGTACCGTTTGGCAAATCAATTATTGACAGACTTAGTGGATCAAAACTTTTTTTATCTTTTTGATCCAAAATCATTTTTTACTGCTAAAGCATTAAATATGGCTATACCCGGTGGTCCAAAATTTGAACCGCTAGTGAAGGATTCAAACGCAGCCGACGAAGATTGGAACGAATTTAACGATATAAATAAAATTATAATCAGACAACCTATCAGAACAGAATATCGCATCGCTTTTCCTTACCTGTATAACAATATGCCGCATTTTGTTCATTTATCTTGGTAAGTACTTTACAATGATGATATGCATTTGTAGTTTATTTTTTCCTTTTGTTGGATATTGTCCACACTAGTTTTGAGACTGGTTTAATTAGTATATTGTTAGTCTTACTAGCAGCGTGGTAAAGAAAAAATTAGGTGGTGATTGTTATTCGTAACCTTCGCGAAGTATAGAAGGGAACTGCTGAAATCACCTACACTCTTAGTAAATACGTGAAATTACATAGTAACGTGTAACTGTATAGTAATTCGTGTTAATATTCTCCAGTATGTTTGTTTGATATATTTACAGGTATCATGCACCAAATGTCGTTTACATAAAAACCGAAGATCCCGATTTACCTGCATTTTATTTCGATCCTCTGATAAATCCTATCTCTCATAGGAATTCATTGAAGGTAAATTTCAGATTTGTACAATGTCATTAAGTTAATTTGTGTAATTGTTACAGAACTTATGTAACTTATATATATTCGTTACATCTATTTTTTAGACTGTAGAACCACAAATCGAAGACGACGAAGATTTTATACTTCCCGAAGAAGTACAACCATTCCTTCAAGAAACTCCTTTGTATACTGATAACACGGCAAACGGTATAGCTTTGCTATGGGCACCAAGGCCGTTTAATACTCGTTCCGGCAGAACTAGAAGAGCTATTGACATTCCTTTGGTGAAGTCTTGGTATAGAGAGCATTGCCCACCAGGACAACCTGTTAAAGTTCGTGTTAGTTATCAAAAGCTGTTAAAGTACTTCGTTTTGAATGCTTTGAAGCACAGACCTCCGAAACCACAAAAGAAACGTTACTTATTCCGATCGTTCAAATCAACAAAATTCTTCCAAACCACCACAATAGATTGGGTCGAGGCTGGTCTGCAAGTATGCAGACAAGGATACAATATGTTGAATTTACTTATCCACAGGAAGAATTTGAACTATCTCCATTTAGATTACAATTTCAATTTGAAACCGGTTAAAACGCTCACCACCAAGGAGAGAAAGAAATCTAGATTCGGGAATGCTTTTCACTTGTGCCGTGAAATCCTCCGTTTAACAAAATTGATCATCGACTCTCACGTGCAGTATCGTTTAAATAACGTTGACGCGTTTCAACTTGCGGATGGATTGCAGTACATTTTCGCGCATGTCGGCCAATTGACTGGAATGTATCGATATAAGTATAAATTAATGAGACAAATCAGAATGTGCAAAGACTTGAAACATTTGATTTATTATCGTTTCAATACGGGTCCTGTCGGGAAAGGCCCTGGTTGTGGATTTTGGGCTCCCGGTTGGAGAGTATGGCTATTTTTCATGAGAGGAATCACACCGTTGTTAGAAAGATGGTTAGGAAACTTGTTGTCCAGGCAATTCGAAGGTCGACACTCAAAGGGAGTCGCGAAAACCGTAACGAAACAACGAGTGGAATCTCACTTTGACCTTGAATTGAGAGCGTCAGTGATGCACGATATCGTGGACATGATGCCGGAGGGAATCAAGCAAAATAAAGCTCGAACGATACTTCAACATCTTAGCGAAGCATGGAGATGTTGGAAAGCCAATATTCCTTGGAAGGTACCCGGCTTGCCAATCCCCATCGAAAATATGATCCTGCGTTACGTCAAAATGAAGGCGGATTGGTGGACGAACACCGCTCATTACAATCGAGAACGTATCAGGCGCGGAGCAACCGTGGATAAAACTGTTTGTAAAAAGAATCTAGGGCGTCTTACTCGACTCTATCTTAAAGCCGAACAGGAGCGTCAGCATAATTATTTGAAGGATGGACCATACATTTCCCCAGAGGAAGCAGTAGCTATATACACCACGACTGTCCATTGGTTAGAGTCCAGGAGGTTTGCCCCTATACCATTTCCACCATTATCTTACAAACACGATACCAAACTGTTGATATTAGCTTTGGAACGTTTGAAGGAAGCGTACAGCGTCAAGTCAAGATTGAATCAAAGCCAACGCGAGGAACTTGGTTTGATAGAACAAGCGTACGATAATCCGCACGAAGCATTGTCTAGAATTAAACGACACCTTCTGACTCAAAGAGCATTTAAAGAGGTGGGGATAGAATTTATGGATCTTTACAGTCACCTGATTCCCGTTTATGATGTCGAACCGCTTGAGAAAATTACAGATGCTTATTTGGATCAATACCTGTGGTACGAAGCGGACAAACGAAGGTTGTTTCCGCCATGGGTAAAACCTTCGGACACAGAGCCACCCCCTTTGTTAGTTTATAAATGGTGTCAAGGTATTAATAATTTGCAAGATGTTTGGGACGTCAGCGAGGGAGAGTGTAACGTGTTATTGGAATCGAAGTTTGAGAAACTGTATGAAAAAATTGATCTAACGTTGCTGAACAGGCTTCTCAGATTGATCGTTGATCATAACATAGCCGATTATATGACTGCAAAAAATAACGTCGTTATAAATTACAAGGACATGAACCACACGAACAGTTACGGGATAATCAGGGGGCTACAATTCGCATCGTTTATAGCGCAATATTACGGTCTCGTGTTAGACTTGCTCGTTCTTGGGTTACAAAGAGCTAGCGAAATGGCCGGCCCCCCTCAAATGCCGAACGATTTCTTGACTTTCCAAGACGTGGCTTCCGAAACGGCGCATCCTATCAGATTGTATTGCAGATACGTAGATAGGATACATTTATTTTTGAGATTTTCTGCCGACGAAGCTAGAGATTTAATTCAAAGATATTTGACCGAGCATCCGGACCCCAATAATGAAAATATCGTCGGTTATAATAATAAAAAATGTTGGCCTCGCGATGCTCGAATGCGACTTATGAAGCACGATGTGAATTTGGGCCGTGCAGTATTTTGGGATATCAAAAACCGTCTGCCCCGTTCTACGACTACGATACAATGGGAAAATAGTTTTGTCAGCGTCTACAGCAAAGATAATCCTAACTTGCTGTTCAACATGAGCGGGTTCGAGTGCAGAATTCTGCCGAAATGCAGAACCACGCACGAAGAATTCACGCACAGGGACGGCGTGTGGAATTTGCAAAATGAAATTACAAAGGAAAGAACAGCTCAGTGTTTCTTGAGAGTCGACGACGAAAGTTTACAACGGTTCCACAACAGGGTTAGACAAATTCTCATGGCTTCCGGTTCTACGACATTCACCAAGATCGTTAACAAATGGAATACAGCTTTGATCGGGCTGATGACATATTTCCGCGAAGCAGTTGTAAACACGCAAGAATTATTAGATCTATTGGTCAAGTGTGAAAATAAAATCCAAACGCGTATTAAGATCGGGCTAAATTCGAAAATGCCGTCACGATTCCCGCCGGTGGTGTTTTACACGCCCAAAGAACTGGGTGGACTTGGAATGCTTTCGATGGGGCACGTACTCATACCTCAGGTAAGTCACCGTTTCTAGATAGATGTATTGCTAGACATGATCGTATTCAACAAATATAAATTATTATTCTTCAGTCGGACTTGAGATGGTCGAAACAAACCGACGTTGGTATCACGCATTTCCGTTCTGGTATGAGTCACGACGAGGATCAACTGATTCCAAATTTATATCGATATATTCAGCCGTGGGAATCGGAATTTATCGATTCGCAACGTGTATGGGCCGAATACGCGTTGAAGCGTCAAGAAGCTAATGCACAAAATCGTAGGCTCACTTTGGAAGATCTCGAAGACAGTTGGGATCGTGGTATTCCTAGAATAAACACACTATTCCAAAAAGACAGACACACTCTCGCCTATGACAAGGGTTGGAGAATACGCACAGAATTTAAGCAGTATCAGGTAATACTTATGGCAATTTTAGAAGACGCGTTTCATTCATTCAGATCAAAGATTATATAATCGCGTTACTTAGGTCTTGAAACAAAATCCATTCTGGTGGACGCATCAACGTCACGATGGTAAATTATGGAACTTGAACAACTATAGAACAGACATGATTCAAGCTCTTGGTGGTGTAGAAGGCATTCTGGAGCATACTCTTTTCAAAGGGACATACTTTCCAACTTGGGAAGGTCTTTTCTGGTAAGAAGTTTTTATATTTGACAATTAAGCTGGAAGTAAGTTTAATAATAATGACACTTAATAAATCACCGCTTTTTTTTTGTTCATATCAGGGAGAAAGCATCTGGATTCGAAGAATCTATGAAATACAAAAAGTTAACTAACGCTCAAAGGTCGGGTTTGAATCAAATTCCAAATCGGCGGTTTACGCTTTGGTGGTCTCCAACTATTAATAGAGCAAACGTATACGTTGGTTTCCAGGTAAAATAGACATTTTGTTTCACCAATAAACTCCGGTTAATTTCTTTCTTTTCAACATAGTTGTATAATTGTCTATTTTTGTTAATTATTAGGTACAACTGGATTTGACAGGAATATTTATGCATGGCAAAATTCCGACCCTAAAGATTTCTTTGATTCAAATCTTCCGTGCGCATTTATGGCAAAAGGTGCACGAATCGATCGTGATGGATCTTTGCCAAGTTTTCGATCAAGAATTGGACGCGCTAGAAATTGAAACTGTCCAAAAGGAGACGATACATCCTAGAAAATCGTACAAAATGAATTCCTCTTGTGCGGATATTTTGTTGTTCTCTGCTTATAAGTGGAACGTTTCTAGACCGTCCTTGCTTGCGGATTCGAAGTAAGTATTGATTTCTATATGCCTAATTTGCGTTGTTATGTACGAAGGTAAATTCCCCTTTAAAATAATACTCTGTAATCCTTTAAACAGAGATCTCATGGATAACACTACAACGCAAAAATATTGGATAGACGTACAACTTCGATGGGGAGATTACGATTCTCATGACATCGAAAGATACGCCAGAGCTAAATTCTTGGATTACACAACCGACAATATGTCCATCTATCCATCACCAACTGGATTACTAATTGCAATTGATTTGGCATATAATTTACATAGGTACATATTTAGATATTTTAGTGATATTTTTTTTTGATTCTGTAATATATTCAATGACTATTTGTTAATGTTTCAATTTTGTTTGTCAGTGCATACGGCAATTGGTTCCCAGGATGTAAGCCTCTCATACAGCAGGCAATGGCGAAGATAATGAAGGCAAATCCGGCTTTATATGTGTTGCGAGAACGCATTAGAAAAGCGTTGCAACTTTATTCGTCGGAGCCTACGGAACCGTACCTATCTTCACAGAATTACGGCGAACTATTTTCGAATCAAATTATCTGGTACGTGTGTCATTTTTGTTACATTCGTTCGTAAAGAGGAGCAGGTGAATTTTTTTGCAAATGAACTATTTTTTGTTAGGTTCGTCGACGATACCAATGTTTACCGTGTTACAATCCATAAAACGTTCGAGGGCAATTTAACCACGAAACCTATAAATGGAGCTATTTTTATTTTTAATCCTCGAACCGGCCAACTATTTTTAAAAATCATTCACACTTCTGTTTGGGCTGGTCAAAAGCGTTTGGGTCAGGTACATAAATTACATTTAATCGTTTCGAACGAGGCGTATTCATAAAACTGTCGATTCACAATCAGCATCGTTCGATTATAGTTGGCGAAATGGAAAACCGCCGAAGAGGTGGCTGCGCTTATTCGATCTTTACCAGTCGAAGAGCAACCTAAACAAATTATTGTAACTAGGAAGGGAATGTTAGATCCTTTGGAAGTACATTTACTTGATTTTCCTAATATCGTTATCAAGGGATCGGAGCTTCAGTTACCGTTTCAAGCTTGCTTGAAAGTTGAGAAATTTGGCGACTTAATTTTGAAAGCAACTGAACCCCAAATGGTGTTGTTCAATTTGTATGACGATTGGTTGAAAACCATTTCTTCGTATACGGTAATTTGCTATTTCCCTCTTTTCTTTCTCTTTTATATATTGTGTAATTACTTAAATTCGTAAATTCGTGATTTTCACAGGCATTCTCGCGTTTAATTCTTATTCTTCGCGCGTTACACGTCAATACTGAAAGAACAAAAGTTGTCTTAAAACCTGATAAGACAACCATAACGGAACCTCATCATATATGGCCATCTTTGACGGATGATGAATGGATTAAAGTCGAAGTACAGCTAAAAGATCTTATACTAGCCGATTACGGTAAAAAGAACAAGTACGTTCCGAAATGATATTTCTAACTGTAAATATATAATGTAAATACCCCTTGTTAACTAAATTGTTGGTTTTTAGTGTAAATGTCGCGTCGTTAACTCAATCGGAGATCCGAGATATCATTCTGGGTATGGAAATTAGTGCACCGTCCGCTCAACGTCAACAAATCGCTGAAATAGAAAAGCAAACGAAGGAACAGTCACAGCTTACAGCGACGACCACCAGGACGGTTAACAAACACGGCGATGAAATTATTACTGCAACAACTTCCAATTATGAAACGCAAACGTTCAGTTCTAAAACCGAGTGGCGGGTGAGAGCGATTTCAGCAACAAATTTGCATCTCAGAACAAACCATATTTACGTGTCGTCCGATGACATAAAAGAGACCGGTTATACTTACATATTGCCAAAGAACGTTCTCAAGAAATTCGTTACCATTTCCGACTTACGTGCCCAGGTATGTGCATACATTATAAAATTTGTGTATATATTTAATTTAAGTTCATTTCGATTCGTTGTTGCTATAGATTGCGGGATATTTATATGGTATTAGCCCACCGGACAATCCTCAAGTTAAGGAAATCAGATGCATAGTTATGGCTCCGCAATGGGGAACGCATCAAACTGTTCATTTGCCTAACACACTTCCGAATCATCAATATCTCAAAGAAATGGAGCCTCTTGGTTGGATACATACTCAACCTAATGAATTGCCGCAATTATCACCACAGGTACGACGATACATATACGATACATAATCATTGGCCTCTTGTTAGTATATAATTTGTTCATTATCTTGTACATATGAAGTACTGTTACTCACCTTATTGTACATATTAGGACATATCTACACACGCGCGGGTAATGGCGGAGAATCCTATCTGGGATGGAGAAAAGACTATTGTCATTACTTGCAGTTTCACGCCAGGATCTTGTTCACTCACAGCCTATAAGTTGACACCAAGGTTTGTGTTTCTTGCTCCGTAGAAGATCAGTTACGCGCATTTTCAAATTTTATTCTATGGACGCTTCATTTTTCTTTTTGTTGAATTCTGTGTACGCTTGTCTTTTCAGTGGTTTCGAATGGGGGAAACAAAATACCGACAAAGGAAACAACCCTAAAGGTTATTTACCGAGTCATTACGAAAAAGTGCAAATGCTGTTGTCCGATCGTTTTCTCGGGTTCTTTATGGTCCCAAGTCAAGGATCTTGGAATTATAATTTTATGGGTAAGGCTGCTAGTATAAACTACATTTTATCGATGCGTACACGATTTACGTGAATAAAGTTTAATTATTTTTCTGAATAATTGTAGGCGTAAGACACGATCCGAATATGAAATATGAACTTCAGTTGGCAAACCCGAAAGAATTTTATCACGAGATTCATCGACCTGCCCACTTCTTAAACTTTTCGAGTTTGGAGGATGGCGACGGTGTCGGAGCTGACCGAGAAGATGTATATGCTTGAAGAATACAAGCAGAGAGAAATGAAAAGAAATCGATAAATCTGTATTTTAACACTTTCATAAGATTCCAATAAGACTAATTCACTTCGAAGGTTAGTTATAGCATAATCCAACAATGTTTAATCGAAGATCGAAACTTTGTTTTCAAATATGAAATATTTGCACTTGTATATACACGAACTGAGAACACGCAACTTACCGAACGTTGTAAAAGATGTTTCTTAAGAAATTGACAAGCGTATGAATCGAGATTGCTTCGTGATACAATATGTTTAGTGATTTTTTTGCCTTCGAGGAACATACGTATCTGGTTCGAGGAACATACTTTGCACACGTGTAGCGTGATTATATCTCGGTATAATCATATGCTTGAAATTTTTCGGTAAGTCGCGTATCTGTAATGTTTAGTTAACAGGTTGATTAGTATTATGTTAGGCGTAAACTTCGTGTTTGTACTATACTTTAATATCATTTTAGAATAAAAAATACATAATTTATACACATACGTATTATAAGGGAAATGTACAAAATTTTCACACATTTGACCTCGTAAGAATAGCAAATAACATACACATTAAAATACATTCGGCGACATGCTTAAATTATTCCCTTAGCATACAACGCTACTTGCTGAACTTTCCGATGCACAGATTCGAGCTTTGAATATTAAATTACAAACATGGAAAAGAAGAGCATGATTATAAGGGCTCCACGATTAAATACTTATCACGGACACGGTTTGTCCTGAAATCTCTGATAACGTTCGATTCTTTTCCGATATCCCATAAGTTGTTACATTGTGCTATTTGTAATCGTACAGCGCAAAGTTTAATTTAAGTTTCTCGAGTAGACACGAATAATTGTCACGACAAATTGAAAGGTTATGACGATAGCCATTAGCGATGACTAGACTACTTCTGGCCTCTTTTTTTTATCATTTTGTTGATATTCGTACCATTCTTCCGCGAGAAGAAGGCACAGCGTATTGGTCGAAAACGGTGGCAGCCAATCAGCTGACTTCAGCAAGAGTGGGGATGTAGACACGCTGTGCCTTCTTCTTGTAGAAGGACGATACTAGTCGAACCAGTAACATTTTTCCATAAAAACTTAGCGAAGGATATCGCGCTTTGAAATTAAGAAAATGCGCGAAAGCGATGATCAAATTACACAGTGTCCTACGCAATTGGGGAAAGCTATATCTCTAAAACAGTTAAAAGATACAAAAAAAAAGTATCACAAGGTAAAATAAAATGGCGTCGAACGATGCGGATGACATATTTTTGTATCTGTAACTATTTTAGAGATAGATTTTTCCAGTTGCGTAGGATATTATCACACCAACAATGGATAAATTAATCGAGCGATTATGGTAAAATGCGTTAAGCGCAATCGTTCTTATCGAACGTTGGTCTACCTGTACGCGAAGGTTCGCTCACATAAAGATTGAACTTTTCCTGAAGCGGTGCTGCCGATGTAGTGCAGGTGCGAGAAGCCGAACTATGATACGCGCTGCGAGTTGAATTTCTCGAAAGAACGTCAGTGCCACGGCAACCGAATCTTTTCAGGAGAAGACGCTTGATTTTATCCTTCCAAACGAAGATCAAGAAAATGATAACACCTTGCAAGGTATTTGTCAGATCGGTCAGATACCAAATGTAAGCCGGCGAATTGTTGCACAGCCAGGATACTATTTCCATTGACCAATTGATGCCCATTACAATGAACAGTTTCAGGTAGAGATTGAACCTGAAAAATTCCAAAAGTAAAAATTAGCGTACCTATAAACATTACGGATGCAGCAGATTTCAGCAGGTGAAATTTTTAAAAATACTTTTATTTTTACTTTTTAAAAAATTAGCGAGTAATTTCAAGAATATTAATTTTTCCACCCATGTGTATTAGGGATTTTTTCTTCCATTTGGCGAGTACTGTCTCTCCTGAAATCCTTCTTTTTAACACGCTGTATAAATATAAGAGGTAAGTGATGGTGGACTGGAATGTAAAACACAACCATGTGACCCTGCGCGAGATAGGGACCGGATGAGTATATTTGCTACTTTAGAGGAACTCGTCATTATGAAAACAAATCAAGGCATGGGAAAGTATTCGTTTGACTCGTTCTATGAGAAGATCCAGAAATAATTTTGCCGTCACAAACTTAGTTACAATAAGAGCAGCGCGCACGTATTACGGATGGTTTCGAATTATTGCGTACCAAGCTCGAGGATATTGTATTGATCGTTTTGATTATTTTCTTTACAGAATCCGATACTTAAGATCCTATTACAATTTTATGCTAAAATAGGAGCCTACATTTGGTCGGATAAATAAATGAAAGAGAAACGCACCACTGTTTGTTGTCGTCGTGGCGTCTACTGTCTACGCCTTTGAATTGATGGGCCATGTCTTGTTTGTGCTGTACGATCTTCAGTGCAGTCGAGACGAAAAGACATATGTTACATATTACCGTAACGCCCATAGGTCCGTAAAAGTATATCGCCTTCGCTTCGTTCGCTGAAATTCAATAACGATAACAATTATCAATCACAACTGAGAAGAACGCCCATAAAAGGTACAATTATTTCAAATAATTCTATCCATGTAGCCTAACAGCTGGCACGTCTGACTATACAAATTTTATAGGTGCCTATTCCGATCAAAAGGTGTCGTTTGAGAGAGAAATTTTTTTGGAAATGGGTTGCATCGAGTAATATTTATTTTTTTTTTTTAATTCACAAAAATTACCTCGAAAATAACCGTTCGAAGTAAAATATCCTCTTAACGTGTATTGAATCGAATAATGATAACAACGTTATCGTTATCATTTTCCTGCAAACAGGCGAGATCCAACATGCAATTTAACGTATTTCGAATCTCTGTATCGATGCAGAAAGATAACGAAGGTTTGTTAGAACTCGTAAAACCCAGTCTTAACACTAATGGCCGCACGTATCACGCGAAGACCGTTGTTCTTCGCTACTGATATTATAGATCAAAGTGAGATACACGAAGATGCTAGGAATATTATTATAAGGAATTATAGATGTAATCTCAACAAACGTAATAAGTTGAATGTTTAATGAAATGGTGACTGATACAGTAGATCACGCACACGCGATAATGGCCGACGTCTGCTAGCTCGCAAAGTCACGTATGCGTGACAGCAGCCGTCAAAGTGTTAACACGACAAGCAGGGTTGGGGAAATTTTATTTTCAAAGAACGAATAAAAATTTTTAGGTTCATTTGTTAAACTAGCATTTGAAATGCTTCGAAAGAATCTAAAGAACAACGTAAAAAAATAGACGAATTTTGAAACTCATCGGAACTAAAAATTTGTTTACAGCGTGATTGCGAATCATTTATACGATACGTGGTAGGTTTCGAGTATATGACTTACTTGTGAACCAGCAGCTCTGTTCACCGAATTGCGGTCGAATAAAATGATCCGGGATATTGGGAACGAAATCCATAATGGCGCAGACTCCGGTGAGAAGGGATGCGCAACCCCAAGCGTAGATCGAGTATATTATAAATTTCTTGCGCTCCCTTTGTTTCACGCTACCTTGCAGTGACCGGAAACCTCTGAAAATAAGTATCGTTATGTTACGGGTTTTCATTAATTTACTTTCATGCGACTCGACTGGACTCGATGCGCCACAAGAACACGTGGTACTTGTGGTTTCTACGTGAATCGAGTTGTAAAAACCGAATGCAATAACCATGTGGTTAATAACATTCTTGAATATTATTATCCTCTTACTTTTCCATCCATTCAAAAAAAAAAATGCTTTATTTCAGGTTTTTAACCCTTAAAGTTAGGGCACAGTAAGTTATTTTCCACTACAATGAACGATGAATACGAAACAAGACGTACAACCTGCAAGACAACCTGCACCCAATTTACACCTAGTGTATGGGTACATGACACGCGCTAACGGTCACACCCTTAGTTATGGCGCGTACATATCTACCTACATGTTTATACAAAAAAGGGCTTGGCAAAATGAACGCACAGTTGAAACAACAGTATCATCGTATTAATGATTATGCCCATACATTATACCCCCGTACGTGGACGTGCTATTACTTTCCGTGCGACGTTCTCACGCGATTCCATGAAACATTGCTCTATTCGTGGAACGCTTAAAAATACCGGTAAACCTGGGTGTAGTGCACGAACTCTAATTCGAACTCGGGAAAACCGACGAATATTTTTGAAAGTGTAATATTTACACAAACTTTTGGACGCTGAAACAATTTCTAGCGTGGTATAATTGTATCGTGCCAAGTATCGACGAATCAAAATCGAATTACTTATGAACGAAATATTCGTTACCCGCGAAACGTTTCTTTTCCCCGGATTATACGTTCGTATAAAATCGACCTCGGCGCCGGCAACGCGGTCGAAATCAGCATCGAAGCGAAGACCGTTTCTCGGCATTCGAGATTTGTTTAGACGATACGTCACGATTTGTTTGCTGTACACCTGGCGTTCTATAGATACTTAAGTGGATCTGAAACTTTTATAACAATTCGTTGGACCAAAGACGCGTTACGCAACGATGTTCGAAGAGATTGTTCCAACGATACATCGACCGATGCGTACTTTCACGCAACGATAATTTATTCCGTCGAACCAATATTTGGAACGACAATATTAGGGTCCACGCGGATGAAAACGCGCCGCGATAAAACGAAGGAGATATTTCACGTAAGATTTACCGCGAACGAGTTTATTTGGCTAATGATTTTCGCGTAAATCTCTCCGTATTTTTTTCTTTTTTTGCAACACGAACGCTGCGAATTATCGTTATTCGGGTATTATAAATCGTAGTTTTTCGAACGGTATAACGATATCCATCGTACGTCAACACTCGGAAAATAATATAGGAGGGAATACTTTGTGTGCAGAATCTAGATTACGTTTGTCAACGTCCTTTGTCAATAAATTCTGTCAGTGATGCTATCGTTTGATTCGCCGAGTCGAGTCGAGAGATATTACCGTCTCTTATACACGCGATAAATGGCACTCTGGGAGAGCCGTTCGCTTCGTGGACCGATCGAAATTAATTTAAGAATGTTTGCGGTGTATACACGCGCTGTCACGAACCGGATATTAATTCGCGTTCTAACGCAATCAATTTTCCTCGATGTTTGTCAACTATCAAATTTCTCTTCTTCGTGCAGAAGATTAATGGGTTACGTTTATAGCGCGTTCACGGCGCGCCGCGGGAAAGAAATTTTTAATGGCTTGATTAGCAGGGGAGCTAGCTACCACGCGTTCTCGATCGACGAGAGAAATTGGCGTCGGTTAACGCGCTTCTGGAGACCGGAACACAGTAATATACTGATTCCTTACCCCAGCCTTACTCTGTCGTTAATAGCCCATTGACTTAATTAAATCGATATTTGTCACTTTAGGTAATACTCACTTTTATGTACTTTACGCAAACAAGATTCGTATTGTTACCTAAAGATCAAGAGGATTTTATTGTAAACCTCTAAAAAAATCGTTCCTTATTTCTTACATTGTTTCTTTCGTATTTTTATAGTTTGCAGAAATTATAGAAACCATTTAAAAAATTCGATAGTTGTACTTCAATGAAAAATCGAAAAGACAGGAAGCAACATATAAAAACAAGTGGATAAAACGTTCGACTGGCTTACCCAAATGTCCACCAAATATCGAAGCACATGACGTTCAGCCAGAAAAAGCTAGCCAAGAACGAGAAATGGATGATGAAGGCTGAAACAGAGTACAATAAAAATTTTTAGTTTTGCTCACAGTTGCGTTTACGCGTAATATTTATTTGTTTATTCGTTGCAGGCGCAGAACCATTTCAAAGCGAAGAGAGAACACATATACAGGGTGTACAAAAAAAGAATTCAATATATATATGGTATATAGGATACACTGTGCTGAGTAAATAAGCTTTGGTAAACATAGGTCGAAAGGTCAACCGTTTCTGAGATATAAACATTTTTGTTTACTAGTATCAATCTATGTTTACCAAAGCTTTTTTACTGGTATACTATATACCTTATAAATGTTGAATGGTTTCTTTTGAACACCATGTATATGTAGATACATAGACACAAGCCACAGAGGTATATTTGTTCACAGAAAAGTAAAAAGATCGCCAAATTGCAGTATATGCGTAACAAGGCCAATAGCAAAAGAGAAAGAGAAGAAAGAAGTACTGCATGGTTCCACAGTTAAGTTTCCGAACGAACGACAACGAAGTAACATAATATGTTTAGTTTTTTTTTCATTTCTCTTCCTTTAGATTTGTTTTCGAAAACGTTGATCGTCCCGATCGCTGTAAAAAGTACCGTGCAACGTGTACCGAATGCGACGCAGACGGCGTTCGAGATCCGCTCCTGCGGTGTGATTTGTATAGTCGCGAGCATCACGTAGGCAACCAGCAGCGAACCAACGTATCCGCGTAGCGTGAACCCGTGCATGTTCTTCAGTTCAGGTATCATCGTGTAGACCAGAAAGGTGGCAAACAGGAACGGCGCCGACACGATCAATCCCACAGGAAACGCGATAATGACGTTCTCGTTATCCTCCTCGTCGAAACAGAGGATCACGTTGTACGTGTCGCTATCGACGATACCGAAGCAATACTCTGTCTGCTCTATGATGTGATTCTCCGTCTGCTTGTAGATCGTGCCATTGTCGAGAAACATGAAAGCGTCGGTGGGATACTTGTCCGGGTCGAGGTTGTACGCTTCACGGGCTTCGCAAGGATCCCGAATGTAAAAGTCAAGCTCGTCCCGATCTGGCGTTTCAGCGAGCAACGCGAAGCTGTTGGAATCGTAAATTGGCGGGAAACGAAAGATGCCATTCGCCTGGATGCACCCGTTACGAGACACTCGCATCCCGAGCGGGCAACACAGGGGAACGAGGACCCGGTTCGAATTTGTCATTTTGGCAACGTTAGAACGATTACCAACGAGCATCAACGTGTTCTCCGTAGTCTTCTCCGCGTTATCGAGCGAACCACTGAAATATCTGTTCGTTGCATTATGACCGGCACCGTCATGGCGTCGCACATCGTCCACGAGACTGTCCGACTCCCCACTCGCGGTGATCGTTTCAACGATCGAATACTCGATCCTAGTAAAATTGTGAGACTGCGAGGATGTTACGTTTGCCGGGAACACCGATCGCATTGACAGTAACCAGACCGTAAGAATCGTTATCCGACCGTGATCGACACTGAACATCTTGGTAGGTGCGTTCGTCTAAACCAACTACTTTATCGCGTGTCGTCCGGATTCCTTGCAACCGCACGCATTATCGCGTTACACGGAAACGGTCGGATGATTGGAAACGTCTACGCAGCCAGTTACTACCGAAGCAACAATTTTAGAAACTCTTTATACGTGAATCATTACGTATGAAACACTGTTACTTTGCGCTTGTCTGCTCTCTTTCCATCCATCGGACAGTCGATACACGTGTTACAGGTGTTGAAAGAAATTAATTGTATATGCGACGATCGTTCGCATAAAACGTAAATCCTCTGTACGTTTTATTTCCGCGAATGAAAACTCGCGAATCTTCCTTCCTCCATGAAAATGTACTCTTTCGTATAGCCATAGACTTTCCGGGCGAGATTTTCCATCGTAAGAAAAGTTTGCAAGATAATTATCTCAAACTATATATACTCTCTCGTTTGGAACCGAATCGGTTCGAATCGAATGAAACGAGTTCGGTACCTCGAGTCTCATTAGCACGCGAATGTACAGGATTTGAAACTTTCAGGATCGTCGTATTGTCGTTACGCGACTGGTAACAACGTTTAATCTGCGAACCATGATTCACCGTATTTCACCATGTTTCGGCCATTTTTATGAGGATGTGACGAAACGACGATACTTGTTCCGGAGAATGTACTTTCTCCTTTCCCCGTATCCGACCATTTGTCATGGAACATTCGAGCGTTGTCTCTTGAAAGTACGATACCGAATCGACAAAAATGGTTGATCGAATATAACGCGCAAACGGGCATAAAGGATGCTCAAAAAGAAGCCAACGTCTTTGCGTATCGACGATTGACGCAATACTAACTTGTAAGCATTCCATGCGACGATCGTTTGTGCGGTTCGTTCATTCTCGCTAGAAAACCGGTATCTCTGGTTCCCAAGTACAAGTGCGTGAATCCTCGCGTGCGCGCGTTCACGTTTTACCCGAGAAAAAGCAAGAGAGCAAATAAATTTTCGAACGTACGTAATTTACGCTCGTTGCAAGCTTTTTGCAAATTTCGTAGAGAAGCGTACGCGTACATTTCGATCGTATATTTCTTTCTTGTTTTCATTCGCGTCACGTGCGAAACCCACGAGTAGCCAGCGAACGGGTTGGCTCTTCGTTGTGGTTGCCAGTGGGTTTCGAATCTTATTATACGCTGTGATACAGTTCTAATACAGACTCCAAGTTAGGAATTAATCAAAGTTTCTTGAAATATCAAATTATGTATAGTTAACTCCTGACGAATGTAAGAATATTAGGTAAAAGTACAAAGGGGCAACGTCGTTTCGATTCGTTTCCTTATCTACTGTATGTACATACGAACACAGAGAATGACACCTCAGGCAAGCGTAGAAACGTAAAAAAGGAGCATCGAGGGGCTTGGCGAATCGAATCGCGAACCGATAAGATGATTTCCTTGCGATGCAAGCTTGCCCCGATTTTCGTACGTATGTATCTCTATAGCAACTGTCCTCGTTACTTTTCAATTTGAGAAAACCATTTTCGACAGGTAAAAGGAAACGCAGAGAGCAAGGGAAAGAGCGAAGAAAGAAGCAACAGTAACAAGATAGCGAAGAAGCAAAGGAGAAAGCAAGGCAGAAAGATCGTAAGCGCGGTGCTCACCTATCGCCGAGCAGAGGCCAAACGCAATGTAAAACAATTTGACCATCATGAGGAAGGTGTACGCGGCAAGGAGACAGGCGACATAACACATCAACGTCTTTCCATAGAGATTTCTCAGCTCCGGAATGATCGCGTACACCAGAAACGTGGCGAGAAAGAACGGGATTGAGATTATGATACCGACGCTGTGTACTTGCTCGCTCGGGGAACCGTCCAATGACAAGCAAACGATAGCGACGATCTGTTCGAAGGATTCGTTCCACTCGAGGCAGTAAGCCCCTGGTGGAAACATGTTCAACGTGGTTCGAAGCGTGCCGTTCCGCTCAAGAACAAACGCATCGTCCTGGAAGGTTTCCGGCTCGAGCACGGACTTGAACCTGTTCTCAGGACACGACATGTCTTCCACGAGAGCGAACATCTTGCCGATGTTGGAGATCGATTGGATTTCGGGGGCCAGCTGAGACCGCTCGAGTACGAGATCGTGACCGGGCAGCCCGTTCGGTAGTTGTTTGCAAATCGGCCGATCACCCGCTCCCAGCGCCTCGTTACGTCGGCAACACTTTTTCAGGCACGTTTGGAGTTTACACGGGCACCCGTACGTCTCGTTCTCAAAGACCCGATAAAATTCAACCGGGTATACCAGGTGGTTGTGCACTAAACTTCCGTTCTCGAAGCCGACGGTTTTATTTCGATCCAAAATAATTCCAGGAAACGGTTGGCAAAAGGAATCTCTCTTTGTTGTTGATTCTCCTTCGGTTTCCGCGGACCCGAGCCAGTATACGAGAGTTAACAAAATTACGCGAATTACGGTACGGACCCGCATCGTGAGGTTCGCCCGCCTCTTCGAATACGTTAAAAATTACGTTTCTTTTGTGTCTCGCGTTTACTCGACGGTTCGAAACGTTCCTAAAATTTTCGACGGATTGTCGCTACGTTTATCATAGTGCCGCGTCAACGATCGACGGGTCTTCGGTCGCTGTATACCCAATGAATCGCGACGAATAACTCAAGACGGCTCGGGACTGACTGCCCTCCGAATTTTTCGATCGTACTTGGTTGCCGCGTGCGCAAATACAGTATCAACGCCACCCGCCAAGCTTATTTACGGCTACGGAGTAGCTTCCGTCGGGCGACCAACAACCCTTTCTGACTCCCTTGTACCGTTCATCGATCACGATAAAAGCACAGACGAGGTTTGCGTGTGAACCTTATCATACACCGATAAATCTTATGGATTTTCATTTAAGGCAAGAACGCCCAAGTCTGCCATGGAATAGTTCATTGTCTTCCACGCTAGATGGCGCTTGTTTATCGGCCTTGTAGCCGTGATAAATTAGAACATATGTATGACTCTTTTGAATATCTGGATTACGCTTAATATAGACAAAGCATATTTTTATTGTGACTTTTTTCATTATACTAGACAAATGAATAAAGCTGAAATTTATGTAATTTCATTTTCTCTCTCGCTTCCTCTTGTGTTTATTTCTAAATCTGTTGGTAACGCTGCGAGTAACGCGAAAATGGTAATGGGGCTCTAGAGCTCCAGAGAGAGGGCCATAAAAATACATTGGGTGAAAGGTTTACTCGTATATCTTGTCTGTGGTTGTGTGTCACTGAGTTCAGTAAGGCAGAGAGGTTTTATGAGACGAGTACAATGGCGGCATCTGGTTAAGAGATTTCGTATTAAATGTCTTGTTGAAAGATGTAAGCACAGATGAGTGTAGCAGCGTACATTGGATTCGTTTCGGTTTTAACGTTGTTGGATTTGAGTGACGAGGTATGCGTGAGCCAGGTTATGATGACGCCGGTATCTGTGTTTCGATGCAAACGCGAAGTCTGTGATTCCTATACTTTACGTTAATTTATTACCAAGGATACACCGAATAACCAGAAAACATGTAAGTCATTGATTCGCGATAGATTTTGCCACAATGTTGCTACTTAGAAAAGTCAGAAGATTCTCTATCCTAATAAGAGGCATTATTCAAACGCTTTATCGCCATTGCATTTACTACTGCTCTACTTTGTTCCTGGTTAATTAATTATCCCTATCTTTGTCACTTTTGATTGCTTGTAATATTCTGTAACAACCTCTCTAAATTGATTTTCAGCAACACAAACAAAGGTGCAGGAATATGTTTTCTTGTATCGATAGAAGATCCAAGACCTAAAAACATGTAAATATGGCAGAAGGCGGAACGGAACCAAAGTCCAATGACAATCAATTATCTAAACTTCAGTTAGAAGTAAACGAGTGTCTTGGTAATTGGCTAGTGTACTTACAGGTTTGTTCAGTCACGATGCAATTTATATTGAGGAATGTAAAGAGCTAATTGTTTTATTTGATGCAGACGCTCAATGGCCTATGTACAGCTGGTACAAAGTTGGCTCAGTCCTTACAAACTCTCCTATCTGCTCATAATACATTGGCACAATGCAAACTGCCGGGACAGTGTCTTGCTGGTTGGGAAGAGCTCACGAGAGCAACGTATATAGCAAGCAACACCGTAAAGAATCACATTATTTCTGCCTTGAGGGATCATGAAAGTAGAGAAAGCAAAGGAGACAAACATGTAAGCAATCACTTTGTTCCAATTTAAATTACAAAAGATATACTTTTTACGTAATATAATATTATTTGCAGGACATACTTAGAGATAATTTATTAACTTTCATAAATCTGCAATATCAGTTCTGCGTTGCTTGTTGTGAATGCGTAGGTGAGAATCAATAATTATTTTTTCTTGATAATTATGTTTTGTTCTTCTTTGTCATACTTAATGAAATGGCTGTTACAGGTGGAATGGTTGAATGCTCTTGTTCGCAAAGTGGTACCACCGAATGCGATGTTATATCACTTCAACAATGTTTCGAAAGATTGTATAGTTCGCCGCCACCAGTGTCTTTGTCGTCGACACAACAATTGGTGCAAAGTTGTCATAGATCGCCTTTACCATATCCTTTATTTCCTCTGCAGGTAATTTTGTTAATTTAAGTATATAATTGTCGTCGGTGATTTTCTACGATTATCTAATTTTCTGCCATAGGTTCAGAGGAGGTGGTCTGAAACAGCAGCTGCAGAAATGTCGGGTGAAACAGCGGAGAACACGATGAGAAGGTGGTCTATGCCATGGGATTGTCGAAACATCACGGATTGGCCGCGACAGGATGTAAGGTTACGATTAAGGGTTCCTCATCGAGACATAAGTAGGTCCACTACGCCCGACACCACATGGAAAACATCCACCATGGCCAGTCAGGATGGCCTGCAGGAGGCAATCCAATTGTTATCTTGCAAACCAGGTACGGTCGAACGAAATAACAAACGTAACTTTCCAGTATTTGTTCCAAGAATAAATGTTATTTATTATTTGTATATAAAACTATCTTAACATCTATGCAGGAGTTAGACCCTTAAATCAACTATCGGCTTACGCCAATCAACATATTCCGGGTGTTACTTTAACAACGTGCAATTTCGAGTCAAACTATGACCCAACGATTTGGCCAGGATCTCGTAAAGTGGGTACATCGAGGTGTTGGCCCCATGATTCCCACTCGAACGACCATTCTGACCAATCGGGACGTCGTGAAAGTGACCAAAGTCCACACAGTGGAGAGCACAGAGATTCAGGTACTGTTTAATACGTATTAAAGCTTACTCGCTCACTGTTTTGCCGATAAGTTATTCATTGTACTCTGTATAGAACAAAGTGGAGCCAGCGGTAGTCACGCAGACAGCAAAGATAGCATTCATTCGCATATCGATCATAGAGAAATCGAACTCGGTACGTATGTACGTTCATAACGACGAGTAAAAACAATCGCGTATGGCATTTGATTTTTTTGTTCCATTAGGTACTGTAGATGTATTACCGTCTCGCAAAAGCAGCTCTTCAACAGATTCTTGCATATCAGCACATAGCCGTTCAGGATCCGAAAGCGCTGGTGGTGGGGTAATGCATGATTACAATTTAAAATAATTATAGCTATTGTTGTCGATTATCATTCTTACATATATATTAGCATCGATCTACGAGCGACTGCCGAATATTCATCGTACATTATCAACATTCATCGTTTCAGGAATGTGCGAGATCTCAGTTGTATTCGATGTGGAGCGGCAGTGATTTGCCTTTCATTAAATTACCAGAAAGCAATGAAACACAGGACGAACACCCGCCTGTATAAATATACGGTATTTGCAGGCAAATTTTCTCTTCTTTTAAACGCTGTCGATTTTTATCAACGGAAACGATTAAAATCGTTTGGAATCGTCGCATATGTAAGCGTGATACAGTAAAGCGCATTAATAGTGCGTATGTGAATCAATGTATACGGTTGTTGAAAAGACGCGTAAAACGCGATATTTGATGACCAATATAACAAAGTAGAGTTGAATGTGAAGTGTTTATATATATCACGCGATACATCGGTACATAATCATTCGAAGGATGGAACGTATAGCAAAGTCGATTTATTTATGAAACTTAAGTATAACGGTTTTTTTTTTTTTTTTTTTTTTAAATTATTTACGTTAGTTTAGCCACAAATAATTAGTCGATATCGATCCCGTTTCCCCTCGCTAGTCTATCAATTGTTTCCAGGGGAGAGTTGTTCATCGTTACCGTCGTAATGAAATTTAGGTCTCGGGTATCGCTCTTCGTAAAGCTTTAACGACACCCGCAATATTAAGTATTCATATTTATATATATTAAAGTTTTTATTTATATTTAACCGTATGAATTGGAAATTAAAAGTTGGGAAAAAAATTTCCTATTCGATCCTTCGTATTATCTCAATGTTGTGCATTGGCATTATCAAGTGCAGTATTAAACCATATCATATAAATTGCATTTCTTCCGACCTGATTATTCGTATGTACACCTATAACAGTAGTACGTATCGTCCATGGTCCTTTAAAGCATACACCTCTACTATCCTTTTACTACTGCTAAAGTATATTCTCCGTTATCTTCGCGATGTATGTGAACGCAGATTAAGCGCTCTGCTATTACACCGTAGAAGGAATCGACGTTAGAAAAACATGGACAACGTTTACTATCCGAGCGATAAAATCGGCAGATAACAGTACGCGTAAATCGGTCGAGAACGATTCAATACATGTACAACTTTATTCATATGGCACAGAAAAATAATAAAACATTCGACTCTACAGGACTACTTACATACATATTTAACAATTAAAAACGAGCTATGACCTTTACGCGCTTTGCCGTTACAGCCACGCTAAGAACCATCAACAACAAGTCTGATCATCGTTTTGTTTGCATTTGCTCGGTTAAATACGGATACGATATATCGGGATATCTGCGTCGATAGTCCATGGCTTTGAGCCAATTTAACCGTGATTATTTAAGTTACACACCTCCTAACTGGCGAATAATCCTTTTTAAGAGATTTGGGTCTACCTCGCTTTTTCGTATAACTTCTAACAATCGTTCAAGGAAGACGAAACGGTAATCGATTGCGGATTATCGAATTAGCTATCGAGTACGAACGTTTAGACTTTTACGAGCGAATATCGAAGAAGCATCGCGATTCGTAAGTCTGTCTCGCGAGAATATCGTCACCGGGATTATACACGCACCGTCGACACAACCACATTTTTTTTCAAGGGGGAAAGAGGACACGGTGTTAGTCAATCTCATCGTCGACCAAATCGTCCTCCTCCTGACCGTAGTCGTCGTACTGATCTTTCAAATCGTCCTCTTCTTTATCCAGTGGACAGTGGATACACCTCGACTCATTGATACCATAATTGATGCAGGTATCCCCTATGCACTCGCAGCAACCGTCATGGAACCATCTATAACTGGTAGCGCCCATACTTTGACAAGACGCCCGACACTTGTTCCAGGAGTTGCATTGAGCCATGAACGCAACGGTGCAATTGACCGTCATCACGTTGGTCTTTAGCGGGTGCACCTCCGCGTCGGCAGTCTCTGAAAGAACGAACAGATTTCCATGAGACGAAGATCGGACGGTAAAGCAGTTACGCACGGAACAAGAGAATTATGGACACCACGATACGTACGCATATGGTACTTCATCTCTTTCTCGTGTTTCGGTGTGAACAGGGACATATCAAAATCCACCGGAAACGTGAACGTGAGCCACCGTTCGTGCGGATCCGGCTCGGCGGTTAGCGCTTGAAACAGACCTGGCATCGGTTCGCTGAAGTCCTCCACGTGAGATTTTTTACTTAGCGGATTGTCCGTGATGTTTGGTTTCGGACATAGGTCTGCGAGCAACGAGCACACACGATTCAAGACGATAATAACGTTTCTTTATTACGCACAGATACAGGCCGAACGAATGAAAAGTACAGGAAACGTGTTAACTGCATCGCAGAGGGTGAGGTTCAGCGACATAACCTAACTTGTACTGTCGGTAAGAATCACATAGAATCGCGTAACAGTACAGATCGTTTTATAGACATACGATGTTCTTTAACTTGATAGAAATTTCGTGTTTTTATTCCGTCTTATTCAGCAGCAATGTAAAGAGACTCTAGACGTAAACGTTACCGAGGAAATATTACGTACATTCATATTCAATACCAAGCAAACAAACTCGTAGGTAATTAAAGAGCAATGTGTTTGGCATTGTTTGTTAAAACCACGTAAAAATTTTAGTGACTGTATGGAAATTTCGGGAAGCGTAGATCGAAAGTATATCCGGTGAACAGTTTTAGTGGTTCGAATGAAGCACAGATGCCGCGAAGATTCGAAATGATCGTTAAGAAGCGGAAGACGTTTGGCTTACCTACGCACGAGCAACACTCGTCGTAAAGGTAGCTGAGGCAGTTGAAGCATTCCTTGCAGCAAGTGCAGGTGACGACATCGCACTTGCAGCTCTGCGTAAGCATGCACTTGCTCACGACGCTGGCGCAGATTGCCTCGTTGCAGGCCTCGGTGTAGCTCCTCGCCGCCGCCAGAAGCAAGATTCCGATGATACCCACGACCAGCGTCCTGCTCCAACTCGTCATCGTGTTCTAAATAAACAGCCACCAACGGAGATTAACGTCCCACTGGCCTAGTGTCGGACACATGTATCCATCGCGATCGCTGCACCAGCGAGATAATTACGAACAGGGCCACCAGATCCACGTGCATCGGAAAAAGGTTATCGGTAACAATTAAAAACCGCGATAAATATGCGTCGCTTCCTCCAAACAACGTGACGTCGCGGAGGAGCAACAAGACGCGTGTCTACACCGTAAATCGCGTGCGTTGATTACGACCATGAAGCTCGATTAAGGTTATTAAGAATATTCATGAACATGAGTCAGGAGATATCATTAAGAGGAGGATGCGTACCAAAAAAAAAAAATAAAAGAAAAAGGAACTTTTAATCTCCCGCGTTTACGGGTGACCAGCTTATCACCGCGAATCGTTCATCGTAATCTTTCGCGGATACGAATCGATCGATGCGGCGTTCAAGCTCGATAACGACTGTATATATCAAAAACTTGATTCGTTTTTTTACCAAATATGGAGAGTATAGAATCAGTCGAGCATGGTGTTCGATGCAGCGGCGAATAGTACCGCGAGAGAAGGTGTCTCTACGTAGAAAGTATTTAAAATAAAAATTGTAAAAGGCGTCTTTCGACACCTTCGGTGGAAACGGCGTTGAAACGCGATCGAGAGAGGAGATTGTTGGCGGGTAAAGAGGCGGCCGCTAAGATGCAAAGTCCGATAATTCGATGCAAAATGATTGCACGCGTAACGATTACAGCTTTTGAGCGTGCCAATTAAACGAGTATTTATATCTCGCATAATCACGTCCTACGACATTTCGAGCGAATTATTATTGGAAAGGAATTCCGTTTCAACGACTCGTTACGTGAACCGATCTGGAAAAATTTCATGCGAACGTTACCTCTTAAAAATGTATTAGCACGTCGTAGCTTCGCTGCGGGTTATGATCTCGCGATATACTCGGAACGTTACCGGGAATATGTTAAGTGCATCCGATACCGTTTTCTGTACGCGAAAAATATCGAAAAGTTCGCGTCGCGTCCTCGCTCGATATTTCGCCGGCGCCTGTGCTACTCGAGCGAACTTTAACCGACTAACAGAACCGAGGCACGAGTCTCGTTTCTCACACGGAGTCCCCACTCGAAACGTTCGAAAGGTGCAGTCATAAATGAATACCGAACGGATGAATTGGTTTTACGATCGTTTCTTCCAGGTAATTGTTGCCCGTTGTCCCTTTGACGCTAGTTTAACCCGGTGCTACCCTCGACAAGCGCCACTCCATTAAATCTCCGCTATTCGTTGGACCAAACGCAACTCAATGAGCCAGCCGTGGTCGACGATTTCAAGCATTCGCAACAGGTGAACGCGAAGAAAGAGAGATAGAGATACGAAGAAGATATTTTAAAAAATTCTATTCCTGGCTGAATCGTTTTACAAACGTCAGTCAAATTAAAATTTCGTAAACAAGTCTAACATCTTGTTCGTCCGTTTGTCTCACAGAACATTGTATGCAGTTTGCAAACCGTACGCACGGACGCTTTGCATTCTTCCAAGACGTACAAGTTCACTGAATGCGATTGAACTTTCGAGCGTCGAATAGTAGCTGATTTTACATTCGCGAAGAAATATCTAACCGCTCGACACGTTCGCAAGGACGAAGAGGATATATCTTCTCGACGTTTTTATCAAGAAGAAATGTCTATTGCGACGTAACACTCCCGAAATTACGATCCTACGGAGGAAAGCAGCCGTCCTGGCGACGTATCGAAAACACACCGTCGCGATTCCGGTGAAACGACTGCAATTTTTATTCCACGAAGCGACTAATTGAAATGCCGCGGATGTCCTATGCAACGAAGGAATCACGACGGAGGCGCCACGCGCATCGAGGAGACGGGAGACCGAACGAACGGTTTTAGAAAAATTCCAGCTGTATTGAAATGTAAACGCTCGTCATCCAGGGACAGACGTGCTGCTTACAGCCTCGCCTTGTTCTGGCCCGAGGCGATGGAATAACTTCAATAACAAACGGCAATCGGCTTCGTGGAAGGCACCGTGGCGTCTACCTACGTTCGGATCGCAACCGAGGGCTTTCGAATCGCTCTCTTCTGCCCTCTCGCGTTTCGCCTTCCACGTTTTCTTTTTTTACTTGGCTGGAAAATCGTGTCTGGCCAATCGCCTGCACCGCAATAAAGGTATCGACTAGTCTTTCCTCCCGTGAAACTTAAATCTAGCAAAACCACTGCAAGCCTAATTTATTTTCAGAAATGAATTCTCCATTCGTCCAAAGTGCGTATTTCTAACGCATCTACGAATAGACGATCCTTACACACATTACGATTTATAAGGAATGTCGGCAACGAGGAATGATATTTTACAAAAATATGTGGAAAATAAGAAGAAAATACTCGATGAAAACTTGTCTTGGATCGTATGACCAGATGGAATTCCGCGGAGGCTATGATTAGACGATTTACGAGAACAAGGGATCCAATTTAAAAAAGCATCGACCGAAACAAATTTTACGCCTCTCTGTCGAGGAGTTTCTGTGCGTATCATTGCCATTGCTGTCGGCAAACTTTGTCGTCGAACAGTTTACTGCTTCGATAACGCTTATTTATCGTAAATTAGTCTGATATCGACAATATCGTCGTTCTCAGAAACCACAGGAAACGCAGGCTCGATTGATCGTGAAATGATCTACTGTCAGAGACAAATGCTATTCGCGAATAACGAATAAGAATTTCAACGGGTATCGGAGGATTTTTTAAATCGACGTTCAGGCACGAAAAGTTTGTTTACGAATAAATATAAAATTTTTAGGACAGCTAAGCTAGGAAACGCTTGGACAGGTTTTCATCGTTAAATTATCAAGCCACGGAGACCATATTTTTCATCGATCATGGATAATAGTAAGAATGCGCCGCAATCGAAATCCAATGGCGTTTCGCGGATCGGGGATTGCAGTGGCTCGCGAAGCTATTCATTCTCTAGCTGTGAATTCTGTTATTATCGGGGCACTCGAGTCTAGCCGATGTTCTTAAAATATCGTTAGGGCTACGGTAATTGGCAATGCGTCAGCAAAGTTTATAACATAACAGTCGTAGAACGATGTTAAACAATTTCACAACGCTCGTACGTTGTTAGCATTTATGATATTTGATAATTGTCATTCACCGTTCACTCTTCTTTTCGACAATTTCTTTTATCAGCAGAACTACCTAACTTTCTAGCTTTTTAAAAGGCAAATACAGCTTTTAACGTATCAAGTTATTTATTTTTAATTAGAAGATATATAGAAACACAAACATATTCGTTATATTCAAGGGAAATAAAATTCGTTCTACGTTTGTTGCACGATCCAACGTGACAGTTTTGATTTACATTCTTGTATTCGAATTAGTCTAAAACGCGATACGGTACAAAGAGGGATATTTCCCCGACTGGTTGGCAATGTGTTAAGCAAGAACTTGGTCTTTTCGAGTGGTTTCGCGTCTGGTTTGCAACACGTTGTCGGAAACTGTTACGCTTTTGCCAATACCGTGGTCGCGAATCGGGGCTTGTAGCGATACTTTGAAATGGTCGGGTTCGCTGGTGTATCTTGTTCGTTACGGTGTGCGATTGGCAAACGTTCTCGAACGCGTTCATGGTCCACTGTACGTTGCGAGATCTCGGTCGATCGGGGCAACGATTCGAAGCGCAGTTACCGCGAGCGGGGACCGATGGTGCGTCGCGATGGATAACAGATCTCGGAGACGAGGCCAGAAGAGCGCCTCCGTAGAGGCGTTCTCCGATTACCAGGTCGAGAGAAGAGGACGGTAGATCCGTCGACATTTACCTGGCAGTCCTGCGACGTGTTTCCAGCGAGCGAGGCGGTGGGCAGAGCGGTAAACCTATGCGCGGATAACTATTTTAAGAGCGCCCAACCGGTTCGCGTTGCGACTGCCACGAGACATATTTCCTCCGTGAGGTATATCCTTATCGTGGCTCGTCTCGGTCGCGAAGGGAACCGTCGCGTCGCTTTCACTTCCTGGAAGGTCCTTCGAGTCCGTGTTTCTGTATAGGCGAGCACACTCGCGAGTCTCATCCGTACCGTGCACGATTGATCTCGGGGATTTCGTGGTATCGAAAAACTGACCGATTCCGTTACCACCGGGCGACACTTTCTCCCGAACAACCGATCGTCTCTCGGCGTTCCTCGTGTTCACGGACGGGACGGACCGGTACGCGAAACTCTCTGATTCCGAAGGCGAATGGAAGACGGTAGCGTCGCAAGAGTCGAGGAACCGAATCGAACCGCGCCGCGGCACACTGGTCGCGAAGGCGATTCCAGCCGAAGCACGCACAGAACGGGCAAAACGAGGAAAAGGTATCCTCTGGAAATCAACGCGGAGAGAGATCTGTGACGGGTGCGACGAATCGAAGAGCGGCTCTCATTGGACTGAATTAAGGAAGGACGTGGACCGAGAGAAACGGAGAAGCGGAAAGGGAAAGAGGTGAAGGAGGAGGAAAAGGAGGTGTTGGCGATGGTAGCCAAGCGAGTCGGTTGGTGGTGGTGCTGCTGTAGCCGCTGGCGTAGTTGTTACCGTAAGTCGTTCCCGAACACGATGGTGGTAGTGGTTACTGATAGCGATGGTGGTGGAAAAGGAGAAGAGAGCGACTCCGCACGCAGTCTGCCCAAGACTCCGAACAACCAACCGCGCGAGACTGGTTTTCAATTTTTTTCCAACTTTTTGTTTTACCTGTTCCTCCGTTGTCTCCCTATCTTTCCCGTCCCTCTCTCCTTTCCCCCCTTTCTCATTTTGCCCGTCCTCGTGTCTCCTTCGCCGCCCCCGCCGTATCTCTTCCCTTCGGCTTCATTCCCCGTTTCGTCGTCCGGTTTTATCCATGGACCGATCATCCCTTACGGCGTGGCTCGAAGCAACGCACCGGTCGACAGCTCGAATGTACGGGCCTCGATTCTATCGGCGACACCAGGAACTTACGGTACCGCGGGTGCCGCGACGAGCAAGAAAACCATCAGGAAATCTTACGGAAGCGACTCTTCGCGCAGGACCGGAACCTCATCAGCGTTTGCCCCTCGTGCAAGATCCGACCAAGATACAAGGTACAAGGGTTGATCGTTAACTAAGCTCTTCTATCAACTTGTTTGCATCAATTATCGGATAATTAGTGTTACGTCTACTGAATTTTGTCCAGGACTGTAGGTGCAGCGCGCAGCCAACGAGACAGGCAGGCGAGATTAGTGTCAGGGCGAACGAACGAACGAGTCGAGGCGTAGCTTTCGAATCGGGAATCGGGCCGCGTGTCAGCCACGATCGAAAGGAGAGTGATCATCTATCGGGAAGGACTCGAATCGGTACGCCAGCCGCCGTCTTTACGAACGTTCTTAGCCACGAGACACGAGTCCATCGTGCAACCTCTCATTTCCCTCCTACTGCAATCAACGGCATTTAAGCCCCGGAGTTTCGAGCGTTTAAGTATTTAGCTGCTTCCGTCATATCTCGCCGTATACCGAGAACTTTTTTCTGTCCGGACGGACGCTACGGCTCCCTGGAACCCGCTTCTCGCGGCGCCGGTACGCGTTCACGAATCAGCCATTTCGCCTCGAATGCAGGTCCCGAGGTTCCTGCATTCTCCGATCGTTGCATCGTTTCGACCGAGAAAAATTATTAATATATGATATTTAATGGAAAATGTTGACGTTTCGATAGCTTCTTCAACATTGAGGAGTAACCAGAAGTCTGATGTAGAAAGAAACTCTGTCAAAGATCGTTGCTTGGTACGCAACTCATGAGAAATAACACTGTTATGCAACGATGCTGCACGGACCAGCAACCTCGTATCTCGCGACAGATTTAATTTTGATCGAGGAAACGTGGTTCGATGCACGGAAATCGGCCGCGAACTTTGGATTTTCGCCTTTGACAGGAAGAGACATCAATGCCCACGCAGGACAGTGGACGAATGAACAAAGGTAACGTCGACGTTGGTTCGTCCCACTTTACGCGTCGGAGCGAAATAATTGGTTACGCAGGGGCAAAAGCGAAGAAGCGCGGCCAAAGAGGGTGGGAAGAGAGGACCGGAGTAAGAGATCGAGAGGAACTCGTTCCCGGTTTACGCACGCACAGCGAGAGAGAGAAGGACAAAGTCGAAAAGACAAAAGAGGCGAGAGGAGACGGCGCAGGATAAGTCAGGTATACGAAGGTCGTTAGCTCGAAGAAAAATTAGCCGTTTGTCGGAGCGTTCTGTCCAAAGATGGGTCAATCAGATACGAAAACACTTGTCGGGCCGAGCATTGTCCAAAGGTAACAGGCCTACGAAGGATCGCGGACACAGGTATACTTTCGCTCTAATGACCGTTCGAAGAATTCTAAAGGTTCACGGGGTCTTGGAGCGTGTTCGCCAGGGTGGTCGGAATCGTTGACGAGTTCTCTTCGTTGCCATTTTCTTCCTGAGAGCCGTGGGCTACACCACGATTACGACGCGACCACGGTATTTCCGGACCACCGACTCTGCCTTCGACTTTAACTTTCGCGTACAGTGGACGAAATTTCTATACAAACAGTCCTTTAACTGATACAGCCACAGTTATATCGCTTTAAATATTCTATTTTTTGTAGTACTAATTATCTTGAGGCATCTTAAGAAATCTTAAAGAGCTCTCTGACTTTATTGCACGCAATAAAGTTCCCCACAAATTTGCTATCTGATTTGAATCGGGGTAAGTGGCAAATTTGTTTGCTTAAACACTCTCGAGTCTTCTTAGCGTTATATATTGCTGAAAAGTAAAGTTGTCTTCATGATTTTCTTCGATAAGACAAATCAAAACTGCGTTCATTGTCGTAGTTCTACAGTCAAGAATATTTCGAAAAACGAATCGGTCTTGGCTTTTTGCATTTAGTTCTCCTGGCGTAAATAGATTTGTAACGGATAGATTTATGATTAGAACCGCAACCGAAGGATCGTATTCGCCATTTCGATTACTGCTATTATTGCGGTGGACGTTATAAAACGATAAATTTTTCTGTGCCTTTGTCTCGTTCTTTGTGTTACGTACGGCTGACAGGGCAATTTTGTTGTACAGTACGGGTTTCGATCGGTTAGGGGCGTGGTCATAATCTCCGTTATATATTCTATTTCCATATATGCATTCGATCCTTTCACCTCCTGTTTAGATTTGTTTCGTCCGTCAAGGTAAAACTGCAGAAACACTTGTTCGACGAAAATTTTTATAAATATCTGCATGTAACAAGATAAAATCAGTTTACGTTAATGAGTTGCAACATCGCCCATAGGTGACTTTAAACGGAACGAAACAGATATTCATCGTATGTAATTATTAAGTTCCAGGTATAATTGAAACGCGCGGTGAAAAGCATCGCTCGTACAACAAACGATAGAGTAACCGAAAGAGAAACAAATGATCAGCAAAAACGCGATCACTATCAATGATTTGACCTTCAAACATTGAAAAGAGTTGTCAATCATAACGTCAAGTTGGATATCAAAAGCCAAATATTAAAGAAAAAACTTGATCGATCGTTTTATTGTGATCGCTATTATTTATCGAAAAATGAGTAATGATTCACAATTTATTTGTAAACAAACTTTCATTCGTGACTTTATTCGTCCGAATGTCGGTTTAAAAAAAAAACTCATTGGTGAATTGCAATTTACTTGCACTCTCCTTGTTAACAATCGGAAAGATATTATCTGTGAGGCCTCATAGAATTTTTCTTTACGAGTTATATCATTTTTACCATGTCTAATATCAAAATAAATCAATTTTAACGTTCCATTATCCGAAAAATCAATCGGAACATGTATGTTTCCTAATTATTTCGGATAATCGAGGTTCTGCCATAACACTGTACATATATACCTGTCGCCATCTAGCGCAGAAACGGTACAACTTTTACAATGCGACATTCTCGATCGCGTACATACATACGCACGAAATGTCGACGCATAGCTGAGACCGTTTATCCGTGAATAAATTAGTAGCAATCGGTACTGATCCGTACTGATCGGTACTGATCAGTACCAGTCTCGCGTTTCCGTTCGTTTTCTCGTTTGTGTTTTCTTTTTTAAGTTTGCGATCGTGACGTCAGCCAGTATCAATTACGGACGTCAGCGATTCTACAAAGCGGGACACCGAGTGGGGAACACCCATGGATCTTTTTTCGTGTCGGTGAAAATACCGCTACCGTGGTACACGTCATTATCCATTTTGGAAACAAACACGCGGCCGCGTGTCGCGATAGTCCTCTCATTTTCGCCGTAGTTACACGATCACCGAATATTTTCACGGGTTTATCGTTCGATCTTTCTTGATATACACATACGTATTGTACGCGTTGTCAATCTAATCTCGCAATTGATCAATCGCGTACGATTATATGTGATTGCGATTACTTACTTGTGCACCAAGATTATCCGCGTACTTTCATTGGTTAGATTTTATGCGAGAACAGCTGCGAGCCTTCTGTTGTGGTTGCGTCGAGTGAAAATTGTTACATCTCTACTACTTTCACCGAGGCCGATCCAAGTAACGGTAAGCCGTAATATTAAGAATATTTCGTTGTGTATGTATATTTTTTTTTTACGTGACCTCATTTAGTCTATTTCATTTTTAATTTGTGGACATTTCTCGCTTTTTATTTCCCCGAGTTTTGTCAGATATATTTCGCCATACGACGATCGTGATTACCAGAGAAATACGTGGATTTAGAGATTTCTAATTCTAATATATTTGATTTCTTGTCTGTTTAATAGTTGGGCGTAAACGTTGCATGTATCGAATGCCCCAAATGTGTAATCGAATTAGTGTATTTCTGGTGTGAATGCTTCATCGTGATATCTTTCGCGAGTAAACATCTGTTGCATGTTCGAAAAACAAGTTATCAGTGAATTTAATGAAAACGCGGTAAAGTGAAAAGGCGTAAACCAAACTGATGCTTCTAGTAAGTTGTTCTGGAATAGTCCCTAAATTGGAATAAGTATATTTTAAAAATTTAATGGCATTACTTGTTTTTACCTTGGTAGTCAATGTGTTAATGTGTTTAAAGTTATAATTGTTTCTAAATTTAATCATATTGTGTTTTGTTGTAGAAAAATGAAGTACTACCTGTTATTCATCTTAATAATTGCAACAGTACAGTTATCCGTTGCACCACCCGTCAATCAAAAGAATAAAGATGGAGAACACGACGGAGAAAATGAAATTGACGATGTGGATGAAATGGTACGTTCTTTTGCTAAACAATTAATTTCTATTTCATTGACAAAACTAATAATGTATGGTCTTTGCGCAGGCAGACATTATGGAGTATCGCAGGTACCTGATGGAAGTTGTGCAGGTATTAGAAAGCGATCCTGACTTCCGAGCAACATTGGAAAAAGCAGACGAAGCGGATATACGCGTGTGTTGAAATTACATTATTCCATAGTTAAGACTTTGAATTATTCTTTACTCCTACATGTATTTTTTTTTATCAGACTGGGAAAATAGCTGATCAGCTACAATTTTTGAATCACAATGTTAGATCAAGGTTGGATGAGATAAAGAGGGAAGAACTAGAACGGTTGAGACATCTGGCAACGAAGGAAAGCGAATTAAAAGATGGTCTAGATATCGATCATCTTAAGATAAGCGAACATTTAGACCATACTAATACGCGTACATTCGAAATACAGGATTTGAAGAAATTAATTGCCAAGGTAATAGAAAAGTATAGTCGGTGGAAATTGCAACCGGCAAATAGCGACGACGTATTCATTAGTTTTTTACACAGACCACAAAGGACTTGGCAAAAACTGATAGAAAACGACGAGAGGAATTTAAGCAGCATGAAATGGAAAGAAAGTTCGAGGAACAGGAAAAATTAAAAAGTAACACCATTAATCGAACTTTTAATTTATCGATTTTGTACTAATTGTATTTATTTCAGAAATGGACGAGCAAGAGAAACAAAAATACGAGGAAGAATTACAAGCGATGAAGGAGAAGCACAAGCCGCACGAACCCGTAAGTTGCGTAATACGCGTTGTCCATACTTTCGTATCTCTTACGATTTATAAGTTCTTATCTGTAGGTACATCATCCAGGTAGTAAGCAGCAATTAGAAGAGGTATGGGAGAAACAAGATCACATGGATACCGAAGATTTTAATCCTAAAACATTCTTTTTCTTACACGGTAGTAAAAAATTTACGTTAATTATTATTAGGTTAGGATAAACTGCTACGTAATATTTTTCGTCGAATGTAGCTATATAACAAGAAATATTTTAGACGTTGACAGTAACGGAGTGTGGGATCAAGATGAAGTTAAAGCACTGTTTTTGAAAGAACTGGACAAACTATATGCGCAGGGTGCAACGAATGATGATTTATTGAAGCGCGCGGAAGAGATGGAAAGAATGAGAGAGCACGTATTTAACGAAGCTGATCTAAACAAGGATGGACTTATTAGGTATGTATATATAACTTTTATTTGCTCTAAGTAATTTTTATAACTACACTGCTATTTCAGCTTCGAAGAGTTTGTAGAACAAACTAAAAAACCAGATTTTCAACAAGATCAAGGCTGGCAACCATTGGACGAGCAGCAAATTTATACTCAAGAAGAATTTGACGCTTTCGAGAAATATAAGCACGAGGAGATAGAAAGACTTATTGCCCAAGGAATGGTAAGTACCGAAATGTAGATAAAATTGTAGCAAGGTTTGATTTTGATTGATACAAATGTTTTACTGTATAGATTGCGTTATCTTTATTGCTTTAATACACATCTTTAGTTAGTAGCATGCAAAAAACTAACAACGTGGCTGTAAGTTTAAAGGTAACTATCTAAAAGGTACTGTTAGAACGAAAAATGTAAACTTGCGAAAATAAAGCGCGCCAAGCCCGGTGACACCCATCGCGCGTTATTTGTAAGACACTTGTAACAACAAAGGTTCAAAACTTGTTACCTGAGATAGCACATCGTCTAGTATTTTAATTTTGTTTCTAGATGAAGAATTTATAATTTCTTGAATCATTAATCGTTAATCTTTACTCATTCGTTTTGTTTCTCTTTTTTACGTCGCGTTGTTTGTAACGTTTTCGTAATGGATAATAACTAGCTTGTGCACTTTTTGTTGCTGTTATTAGCTACAACCAGATCAAGGTAATATACCTGCACAACACGAGTCGGTAAGTAATTGTAATGCTTTCAATAATATTTTGTTGAAAATACGTACGAAAGAAAAGGAAAATAATTGATATTTTAAGAGAGTAGAAGAAATCCCTAAGAAGCTTTGCTTTGTACTTAGTACGCTCTGTGCAGTTGAAAATTAACATTTATTAATGAAGCGACACATTATGATGCGAGTGTTGTCAACATTTTGCAGTTCCCACCGCAATACGCACGCCATCCAGTGCCTCCCCAGGAGTACGCACAACCAAGAGGACCGAATCAGAATATCCCGCATCAACAACAGTTCCAAGATCCAAATCATCTGCAATATCAACATCCACCGCAACCCGTTCATCAGCAACAGTATCCTAATCACGTGCCAATACATGGGCAAATGCCGCAACAGTACCCAGATATGTCGCAACACCAGCAATTCCAGGGTGAATTACCTCCGAATCAGCAACACCACCAAATGCAAGTACCTCAATCGCATGTTCCGGTCCAACACCACCAAGGACAAGTTCCGGTTCAGCAACACGAGCAAATGCAAGTAGCGCAGCCCCATGTACCGGTTCAACAACACCAGGGACAAGTTCCTATTCAGCAGCACGAACAGATGCAAGTAGTGCAGCCGCATGTACCGATGCAACAACACCAGGGACAAGTTCCGATGCAGCAACACGAACAGATGCAATTAGCGCAGCCGCAGGTTCCGGTTCAACAACACCAAGGGCAAGTACCGGTCCAGCAACACGACGGACAAGTTCCGGTCAAACAATACGGGCAGATTCCAGTTCAAGAACATGGACAAATTCCGGTACAACAAAATACCTTGAATCAAGTACCGCACAGTGTCGAAAGTAACGCAGTTCCGCCAATAAATAGCCCGAATCAGTTGAACTCGCAGCCCTCGCCCGTATTGGCGCACCAAGAAATTAATAGGAATAATATAGAAACTGGCGGGAAGGTGTAATCTCGAAATCTCTGCCGGAAAAGAAGGAACCCAGTTTCAGTAAGTATCGGAAGACATACAATGAGAATGAAATTTAAATTTAAAAGATAATACTCGAAATACTCTGCTTCGAAGATTTTCTTTCATGCATTTCTCCATTTTTATCTGCCCAACGATTCTATAGCGTCTTCGTACGATCGATATACAAAGTTTTGGCGTTGCGTTTTATCACGGAAGGTCAATTAATTTATTTATCATGATATGTAAATAAAATCTGTTTTCAAGAAAAGCAGACCTGGGTTAGGTTTTCTCGTCCGTTCGACTCCTCGATCCTTATTGTCCAGTAGAAACTCGTCGTTCCTCGAAATCGTTTTTATCGATGGGGGGTGGTTCAATGAAAGAGATCGTGTTTAATTTCTCATATTTATTATTGCATACTGTTTATGTTAGTATATTACTTAGGTATACGTGCCAAATAGCAACTTAAATGTATGATTGCGTGATTCATCTGTTTGTTTCACCCGTCAAGCACGGATAGGTAGGTAGGTAGGTAGGTAGGTAGGTAGGTAATATAACGCTTACTCCACTATATATAGGGTGTATTTATAATTATAGCATATGTCGGTAGAACGTCATCTTACATGCTAATCGGTAATAAATAAAAGAGGAATTTGTAATGGGTGACAGGTTTTTGCTTTGCATCCGTGACTAAAAAGTAAACTATCTCTCCAAAGCCTCGGTTCGTATCAAGGTGTTCGGAAGAGAACGGAAAAACAAACGTCGGTTTGCGATTCGTCACGGTTACATACACGTTATTTCGAGCGTCTCCGTTGAAGACACGCGCGCAACTATTCGTATATTGGTGTGTCGGTTTAATCAATTCTCGACTATCTACTCAAAAGAAATACATTGTTTAACGTAAAATAGAAACAATAATAACTATAAAAAGTATCGCCACCTGCAAAGAAACGTCGCGCTGGCCGTCCGTAGGACAGCCGAGCGTTTTTCTATAGGCCGCGACGATTTCGAACGTATCGATCGAGATTAGAAACAACAACGAAGACAGGATAGACGCTCACGACTCCGTGGTGTCGCACGAACCAAGGCTGAAACGCGATAGAGATACGAATTCGACGCGTAAAGTCGAACCAACCGGTCCTGTATCGGTCTCGTTTCCCCAATTATCGCGACGCATTGGTCGGAGGGCTGATACTCTCCAAAAAACATCATTCGCAAGCGCTTTGAAAAATATTTTGTCATCGTACCAAAATCGTCCCGCCTCTCGTTGAAGCGACCAATGCCGCCGTCGCGTCGGCGCGTTTCAGCGACAGATTCGAACGAAACGGAGGCCGTCGGATCATCCGAAAGTACGTAAAGTATCTTCACGACCGGACAAATAAATATATTACAGGTTACGATAATAAAGATGAACTTTGCCGTATAATTAACGTTGCATTCTCTCTATTTACAGTGAACGCGCGGTTGTGCCTGTCTGTCGCATAGCGTACTGTGTGTTCTCGAGTGTACTTGTTCCAAGAATGTGTCTTTCCTTTTCAATCGCACCCCTTCATCTACCGTTCCCTCTGTCGTTTTAATACTTTTTCGATCCCTCATCGAGCACAGGCGAAAGAATTTGGCCGTTTCTTTCCTCCGTCTCTTCGAAGGAGCGAAAGGGAACCTTCGACCTTGAACGGCCAATATCTTTCGCCTCCACCTACGCGACCAGTAACTCTTCCGATTCTGTCCCCCTTTCATGCATACGTTCGTAGGTAAGTGTCGTGTCGTGTGTGTGTGTGATCGTAGAAGTATCGGATGCGCGTGTGTTAGTGGATGCGTGTGTGTGTGTGTCGGATATTGGCAGGCGGCCGGGTGTGTACGATTAAATAATCAGTTTCTGAAAAATGTGCGATTCTATTGCTCGACTACTAGTTCCTGTAAATTAGGATGCCACCTAGAGTTTATTCTCGAACTGTTCTCGGTCGTTACTGCAGCAGAGAAACGGAAAACACGCGAGTCGAACGCGCCTTTTTCTCCCCCATTCTGTTTGCTACTCCGAGCGCGTTTCTTCTTCCGCTGTCGTAACGTTTCTCTCTCTTTCACTCTCTCGCTTTCTCTCTCTCTTTCACTCTTACTCGCTTACTCTCTCTTTCTCGCTCTCTCGCTCTCTTCCTCTCTCTCTCCGGCGAATGCCGTTACGCGTTACACGTCCTGTAAACTAGCTCGTAAATCGCGGATACGATACAACTACGGTTTGTTTATCGCTTTAATTCTTACAGTTTGTCGGGATTTCTTTCGGTGTCTTCTCTTTCTTTCGCGTATCAAGGGTGGCTTGTACGTCGTTTCGACCATTAATCGTAATACGATGTTACACCTCGAAGCTAAGGCGAAAATAAAGAAAAGAGTTTCGGCGCGTGCGTGATACATTTTTTGTTAGATCCTGTTTCACGGAGTCCCAAATAGTAGAACGAACGTTAGAAGTTTGTGTGTACAGGCGTTAACGTTCTGGCGGACCGCGACGCTCGAGAATCTTCCGACAATTTGCTCGTTACACCAGTGACCAATTATATCGTTACATTTCAATACATTAAAAACGGGCGGCTCGATCGAAATACCACTAATATATTACGTGTATTTTTCCAACAGGATCGAGCATCGTTTCTATCGCTACTCGTTACAGGGAACAACGGCGCACGAATCGACTGGATCGAATCAACGGTTCCCAATCGACTATACAACGAGAGAAATACAATTACGTTCGTCGTACGCGTTACCAAGCACCGCGCACACGGAGGAAAGCAGTTTTCTCGAGTATCACGGTTTCCAAACATTAACGCGAGCCGGTGTGGCCCTGGCCTGAGTGTTCCTCGCCTCTCGCGGGCTGAAAACGCTTCGCTCGCGAGTCCTCCCCGTTCGATTCTACGTTGCCCGCGCGTCCCAAACTTTCGCGAACGTCTCTCGATCCCCGTGTTTCGCGAAAGATGGAACGAGCAAGACGGATCGAGGGAACGGAAAACCCGAGAGACCGATCGATAAGCGAGCGAAACGTTAGAAGCCACGAGGACAAATGGGCAGGTGTTCCTCCTCCCCCTTTCTGTTTCTGGAAAGTAGTATACTAGCGTCACGCCCGTCCGTCCTTACGTTGCCTCGATAAAAATTCTAAGAGCTACTTTGTCTTCGACTCTACGGTCCTTATACTTTTGTCTAACTTAATCTCATCCTGTGAACTTTTGTTTCGTCCTCGACGACGTTTGAACGGAAAACTGTGCGCCATCTTCCTTCAAAGTAAAACGCATCCAGCAGCAACCTTATATAGCGTCAATATATCAATTTATGTATATATATATATACTTTTTTTTTGTCTCATATATATATTTACTTTACTTTGTGTTCTATATCAATAATAGCGTATTAGATGCTTTTTTTTTTTTGTTCACTTACACCTTATGTATGTAATATAAGTATCTTTGTTTTTTTTCTTCTTCATCTGTTCACAGATATATATCAAAATGCGTAAACGAAAGTTCCTCGAAATATCCGTTCCCTCCGTTGATTCAAGTTACACGCTCTTACCCTCCTCCTTCTCATCTTCGCTTGATCTCTCTCTCGCTCGCGCTCTCTCTTTCTTTCTCTCCCTCTCTCTCTCTCTTTCTCTTTTTCTCCCTTGTTCTCTCGCTCTTTCTCTCTCTCTCTCTCGTACAAGCGAATCGAAAGAAACGTTTACGAGAATATGCCATTCAGGGTATTACCGGTGATGAGTTGATCCGAAACAGAAATTTTGTCCGGTTTGCTTGTAAAGATCCTGTACATTCGCTCTGTCACGCACACAAAAGGATTCGTAGACACATTGCGTAATCGACGAAAAACTATTCCGCCGCGTCGTTCGTAAAGGAAAGCCAAAAGTTTTCGCAAAATATTCGAGTTCCTCCATTGGTTTCTAATCCTCGACTATTAACCGTGCGCGCTTATTTTCCTCTTTTTTTTGTTATATGTTTAAATTTCGCGCAGCGTCGCTGAGACTTCGAGACGAGACGAAGAGAATATACGTTACTCGGAAGAAATGTTCATTATTTTTACGCAACGTCCCCACAAATAATATTATCTGGTTTCCCTTTTCTTTTTCTCTCTAGTCACAAACGATTCATACGGTGATGCGAAATTTCGAACGACTTTTCATCATGTACAAGTGGTCACGGTCTACGGGACACGTTAAATTTTTTACTTTGGAAGGCACTTACTACTTTTTTTTTTATACAATATTAATTTTAATCTCTTCCACATTCTCGCCTGTTCACATGCCCCATCCTTTTCTCTCGCACACTCCCTCCCCAATCTCTCTGCCCTCCCCCTACGCTCTCTTTCACCCCCCGCCCCCCTCCCTCACCCCGCTAAAATTCTCGCAATTTCGTTCGCGGCTCTTTGAACTCGTATATTTTTTCTCTGTTTCTTTTCTCAAACCGATCTCTCAACCACCGTCGGCCGGGCTCGCGAATGTTCTTTCGCTACGGCCTTGCCGCGCCCGGTATTCGTTCAAATTTACCTTCTCGTTGAACACATTAAGCCTAAATTGTAATAAAATCTTTTAAAATCGCGACCTACCGTATTCCATCAGGTTTCCCCTACTTTCTTACATTTCCTCTCGATCGTTCGCTCTCCCGCGGCGTTGTTCCGATTCCCGCGGAAAAATAAAATCGTGCTCCGTCGAGGTACTTTTACCACCCCGTCGACCCGTGCGTAGTGCGCCCTAAACGTTTCCTCGTTTTTACGTCCAAAAAAATCTTTCGTATCAAGAATAACGCGTTTCAGAGTTTCCCCGAAATTTAATTTCCTAATCGCCGATAATAATACAACTTTGCTAATCGATCCGCCCTCGAACGCCTTCCTACAAACCGTTTTTTAAAGCTTCCGGTAGGGGAGTGGCACGAGAACAACGTTTCATTTTGTTTCGCTCCCGAAAAATTGTCTAGACAAACGGATAACACGACGGACAAACCTATGCGCTCCATTATTTTTAGTTATTTTTTTTTTTTTTCTTCTCTCTCGAGCAAAAGCGAAAAGCGATGGTCTTTTCCTTTTACAGAAGGCCACTTCGAATTTTTTTTTCTTGTTTAGTTTTTAATACTTACAAAGAGTCACTCGAACCGGTGTGCCAGCTTTAAAAAATCTGTACTTTTACGTCTTTTTTTTTAGAAAGTTCCGTTCTCACTTTTCTCTGTCTCACGCACCCTCATCATTCTTCCACATTCTCTCAGCGTTCTCCCTCTTTCTGACCCCTAAGGATGGCCGTGG